ATCCTTGAAGGACCTAGGTGTGTTGGAAGGAGGGACTGAAATTTAATATTGAGTTTTGTCTATCAAGAGGTAATTACTTCATTGATTGTTAGAATGAAATTGGGCTTCTTAATCTCAGTTGATGCTCTTTATTTGTTTCTTAAAGGGAACTATATTAGTACTCATATTTTCTTTTTTGCTTTCCTCTTTTTTCCTTTGATCTTTTAACCTTTTAGTCCATTGTGTAAGATCAGCTGTTTAATCTTGTGCTTCGTCATACACTTCTTATTAAGTAGCCAAAGATTCTTCTCTATTTTTTTGTTTCTTTTTTAGGACCTCTCCATCTGAATTATCCTCCAATTATTCATATATCTCTGAGAGTAAGAGTTGTTTTTCAGGATCTTTTGCTAATCTATTTCTGATTTGTTTCTCAAGGTCATTTCTTTCCTTTTTCTTATACAATTTTGTAATTTTCAATGTTTACAAGTCGTACATACTATGCATCGACTTAAATTATTGACCAGGCTTTTCTTCACCCCTCGCTATGTCATAACTCTTGATTGAATTGAATTAGTCATTCAACAATTTCTTAGTCACATCTTGTATAGCTAGTTCACCAATATTATCTGTGGCTGATTTATTTTTTCTAATCAATTCATGAGCATTTCCAGCTATTTTTATAGCAGTATAACCTTTGTGTTGTCCAACTTCCCCTTGAACTTACATAATCTTCTTTGTTCTCTATGCCCGAATGGATAGCATTGAAATTTAATTAAAAACTATAAAACTCTAAAAATATCATAAACAAATAGATATTATCTAATTTACAGAGTCATATTGTAAATTGAGAAATAATAATAAATGCGTTTTTATGGAAATGTATCACCATATACATATTAATTAAAATTATCAAACTATTATTGTAATATAGTTAAAAGTGTTCTTAAGTTTACATATTTTAATGTTATGTTATCTGATAAAGATAAATTCTAAAATTTAAAACTATAGATTCTAATTTATAATTTAATATTAAAAAGTATCTATATTGAGGATGTAATGCCTGAATCTAGAGTAAGAAAAGATAAAATTTGTGCAAGAATTATATCTTGGCAAGAAAATTTATACAGTAGCAATCCAAATATTGACAATATAAATATTAATATCATAATTTATTATTTAAAAAAAATTGGTTGACCTTATTTTAATTGATTATTAAAATTTATATACTTTATTCATAAAGGGAATCTTCAAAGTTTATAATGCAAAGCAAACACAAAATAGGATTGCACTTCAAGGGATGTTAAGATAGGATAATAATTATGTTAAATTTCTTTGTCAAGTATTTATGAAATATATTAATATGAAATGCTGAATATTAAAATACTCATTATAAATTGAAACAGTTGATTAAAATATGCAAAATATAATAATTTGAATATCTAAAATGTATGACATACAAGATAGTATCAATAAAGTGACTGAGATCAATTAAACATCTTTGATTAATTGCATCAATATTGAAATATTCTCTACATTATAAATAAATGATTATTATTTAATATAATGAGGAGTCATGCCAAGCAGTTAACAATTATATAAGAAAACCATTTCCAAAACCAAATTATTGAAATAACTCAAACAATTCGTATTTTAAATCTCAATCCTAAGGTTCTGGCAAGTACAGGATTGCTTTTTAACGAATTAATAAAGAATTTGAAAGATCTTTGATTATGTAAACAGGATGGCGCATTCGTTTGCAATTATTAAGAAGAGGAATCGTTTGCCTAATCAAAATTCTCTTATCTCAATCAAGGGATGGATTTAGACATGAAAACTAATTACATTTATTGAGAAAGTTATAGTAATTTATTATGTTTTACTTTGAATTGCTGGAGAATTAAGCAAAAGAATATAGTACTAAATTATACCTTATTTAATAGAAATATTTTATCTAAAAGAAATACTCTATCGAATCTCCTAAATTCATCTATTAATTTACTAACTATCTAAATTCCATGAAGATGTTCGTTGCATGTTGTTTTGGAAACCTGAGATATATTTTTAGGATGCTCGATTTAATAAAACTAAGTTTCAATACAATTTGTAGGTTGGGCATCTCCATAGCCAATTTAAATTATTCGATTCTGCTATATTCTACTATAAAGAGGCCATTGGGCAATGCCAAACTTTGCTTGCTGATATAATAGCTGAAGATTTTCATTTGAAAAAGCTATCTGATAAGTATTCAAGGGTGATCTCTTGGATTATAACAACATTATATATCATGACATTTGTTTATGAATTGCAGTCCGACTATAATAAATTATTCGAAACTTATAGAGTGGCAATTTGGTTATCAGAATTAATTGATAATTAAGGATTAGCAACCATTTTAGAGGAATAGTATCGTTTACAACAAAATTAAGTATTGTATATTATCATAACTTTTAGTATAGAACATTTATGATAGAAATTAAGGAAATTAACCAAGTACTTGCTCCTATATTTCCTTAATCCAACATTAATTAGGATAACACATAAAAAAATGATTATTGGACAATTACAAATGATAAATTCTTTAAGAAATTTAATAAAGAGGTAAATTGCTAACTGTATTCTATCCTTTCATAACAAGAGGATATCAATTATAAAAAATAACATTAATCTCGACTCACAGAATAAGAAACAACAATCCAATCAAATATTCATACACCTCGTCAACATGAGAAATGCAAAACATTCAATTCTGTAGATGAGTTCAAACTAAGTAAATTAACTTCTGTGCATCAATCACCTCAACATTCTCACAAGTCAAGTGCTACAGTACATCACACTAAAACTAATTCATTTAAATTTACATCTGATATAGATATAATTTTAAAGAGATTTCCAAAAAGAGAAATAGAATCATTTTCTTCTTTAAAAGCAAAAAAGGAATTGGATCTCTACTATCAATAAAAAGTGCTTTCCTCTTTTGATAATGAAGTTTAGATTAAATCTCTAAAATCATTAAGATAACAAATATCATCTTAAGAAGAATTAGATAAGGTTTGCTAATCAGATTTTATTGTGGGTAAAAAATTGTTAAAGTTTCAAAAATACACACATCAAAAAGTAGCAACTAATTAAAATATAATGAAAATTACTTCAGGCATATCCAAAGAATAGGAACATTTAGAAGGGGTCAATTCTGCTAGATTACTTATTTAAGGGTCGTAAGATATTGAATAGAAAATCAGAGTTTAGATGCATTAAATCATAAAATAGAAATCAATGCACAATGAAGGAGAATTGATGGTAAATTTTTAAAGTATTAACAATATAGAATCTTAAAGCATTGGTGTCAGATTATGAATTAAATCTATCGAAGGCTCCTACTACTAATCGTGAACCATAAATCGAATAATCTTAAATATCCAAGATTATCAAAGAAAAGAACTATTCCATATTAAAATCTATAGACTAAACAGCCAAACGAACGGCACCAGAATAAATAAAAACTAGAAAATCTTTTCTATCTCGCATTCAAGAGAGTCTATTTTAAAAGTGATTATCTTAGAAATTTTATGTATAAACTTTAAATTTGCTATTATTCATTGAATTCCAAAAGTTATGAATATATTTTATTACTTCTCTATATATATTACTATTTATAATTATTTATTAATAAATTGCTTGATAATTAATTAAACCTTAAATTCTTATATTATAGCGTTAAGAATTATATTTAGGTTAAGCCAAAATTAAAGCCTGATTGATGATTATAACATAATATTACAATTATAGGTTTAATAATTAATCAAACTTCTCTTAAATAAAATTTATTGCAGTAATAAATAAAGTTTTTTGATGATTTTGTCTCAATATTTAAGATTTAATTTTTACTACTAGGAATTAATTTATTGTATTTTAAGAATGACTTTTATAATATTATGATAAAAAGTAATAAGATAAATAATCTCTATATAATCTGATACTAATAGAATATATTAACTCATAAATCAGATTAATATTCTCATTTATTTTTCAAAAAATTTAATATATATTCCCAAATTGCAAATTAATTATCTTCTCCTTTTTGAAAGCTTTCATAGCATTCTTTTAGATAAACTTCTTTCAAATTTTCATTTTCTAAATCCCAAAAAAAATATATTAAAATAATTGGATTAAATTCTGGATGAAATTATAATCCTAGTAAATGGTTACTTTTAAAAGCATAATTCTAACAATGTGGTGCACTCATTAATAACTCAGAGTCTTTTGGAAGTTCAAAAACATAATCTCCATGAATTTAATATACATTTAGATTTTTTATCTGAAATTCTCCAAAGTTCAAACCTGTTAGTAAAGCTAACCTACCAACTTACATATGAGGTACAAAAGTCATTTTCCTTGCTTCTCCTCCTAAACAATGAGCCAAAATTTAATGACCAAAACATATTCCCACCATTTTTATTTAGCGTTTATCAGCTTCTCTTAAAAAATTAACCAGGGGCTCTTTCCAATTCTCTGACATGTCGAATGCTGTACTAGTAGAGCCTGTAATGACAATACCTTCTAAGTTTTCTAAATCTGGATATTAATTTTCTATTGCCTAACATTACAAAAATTAATACTAAATAAACTTCCCAATCTTCATTTACTTCTTTATAGATTCCTAAATGCAAAGCCTCCATGATATTTACATATTTAAGATAATATTAGGGCTCTGTAATAAGTAAAGCAAATCTTTTTCTCTATTACTATTATTTTTCTTTTCCTGATAATATATGAGGTACAATATCAGATTTAAATCCTAAATCTAAAGAATATTCAATCAAAATAATTTTTTCATCTTTGGTTGATTTGATTATTTCTCCTTGAATAACAACTTTAAGCAACTCTTTATATTCATTCTTATACAATATTTCCACATATTATTCTAGATTTTAAATTTAAGTTGAATATGCCATTTAATACAATAGTCGAGCTGCAGCGAAAAAATCATTCGGATCGAATTCAGGGCAATAACTAATCTTAAAGAAATCAAATTCTTAGGAGTTATAAATAAAATATTCTCCGGATCTAATAATCAGAGTTACTTATTTATTTTTATTCATCCTTGTATATTGAAATATATTAAAAAATTAAATCTCAAATAATTTATTATTTTATGGAAACACACTGAGAGTAAATAGTAAAACACCGTTAAATTTTAATGTCCCAGGCAATGAATATAATTTGTTCTGTAGTGAAAAAATTAAATCAAAGGAAACCTCTCTATGAAATTTGAAAGACTATTAAAAATTATTCTTTTATTATTTAATTTAAGAGTATTTTCTATAAAAAAACACAACGAACAATATAATTTTCATTTAAAGATAAATTATGATATCAAAATATAAATTAGTATTAGTTTATTGTTGATGTTTGATTATATACTGATAGATACTTGCAATTTTACTTTTATAAATAAAAATGTAATGTTTTGTAGAGATTTATAAATTCCTAATTAAATCATCTCTCTAATTGACACTTAAATTTCCTTATTCATTTGAATAGGTTTGGTAAATAATATCAAAATTAAATCATAAATGAATTTTCAAATAAAATAAAATATCAATAATGCATTGGCTGCTACAATTATCAATTCACTTATTGTCGATATTTTAATATTAACGCTTAAATCTGGAGAAGTATAAGATCCCACTTGACAAACATTATTTGCTAAATCATAATAGCATTCATCTTGCCTAGCATTACAATCTTCTTAAGAAATTACTAAATTGCAATGTAATTGACAACTATTATAATACTAACTCCATGAACATCTTGTTATTTCATTACAGATATCGGTGGTTAAAAAGGAAGTGCAGGATACTGATGCGCAGCTATCTTTTTTCCATTCACAAATGTTCTTTGCTTAGGAACATGTACATGGATCCACAATAAATTCACATGGTAAACATTGAGAATCTTTCAATAGGCAAGTAAAATTATTGAATTAATTTCCATTACAAAGATTAGAAGATCCAAATAGTGCACAAACTTAAGATGTGCAAATAAATTCATCCTAATATATATTCTATTGTTGAATTACACATGTTTATGCGTTATACAATTGAATTTGAATACATTAGGATGAGCTTAATTATTAGCAACTTATATTATCTACACATTGATCCCCTGACAATACGCATTTATTTCCTAGTTAATTACAATTAGTCAAATCAGAACATTTTAATGCTTCACAAATATTAGATTTCTTACAGAAATTACTAGAGCAATCTGATAATTAACAATAAAGATCATAGTTTTTTTCATTTAAACATCTAGAATTAATACCAATACATTTCTCACCAGATAGAAACTCAATTGAACTGCAAATTGAATGGTCAACATTTATAATATCTTCGCATTGACTTGCACTTTGGCAAACACCATTATTTAAAAAGCAAACCATATTTAGTTTGGAATACTTGCATTCACTCTAACCTAAATCTTCACAACGTACTCTTCTGCAAGAATTATACTTATTATCAAACATACATAATTATTCTTAAACACACTAAATTTAATTCTTATTTGCACAAACACTGGGAGTTGCAACCACACTACATTAGCATTGCATATAATCTGCATTAAAAATACAGGAGGAATTTAATAAACATGCAGATTTTGAGAGTCCAGAAGTTTAACATACCAATGAATTAGTTACTGTCTTGCATTTTTTATTAAGAATGTCATATGAGCAGGAATCTTCTAATGTTGCACATCCTAATTCATTCACATTTCTAGCTTATTCGCATGTATAATTGGAGGGTAATACTTAACATTAACCATCAATAAAAATGCAAGGTTCTCTTAGAATTGAAGTGCATGCTGATTGACTTAATCCTGGTGAATCACAAAGCAAGGAATTAATATTGAATTCGGAAGTACATTTTTTTAATTCTTAATTGTAAATACAAGATGTTTTGACAAGTTTGCAAGTTGCTTAAGTGACTTCAAAAACTTAATCGCATGAAAAGCTAGTAGTTAAATGACATCCATTGTCCCAGTATGCTGCTTAGGTAAGTGACAAACAAGCAGGTTTAGATAATGTATCAATATCAGTAATGGTTCCAGCAAAATCCTGACATGTTAAGGAATCCGAATCATAAATACATGACTTAGACGGAACCATTTAACAAGTTTTTTTATTAACTAACTAATAATCTGAACAAGCTTTAATATCATCAAATATAACATTGCTGCACTAATTGATAGTTTCATCATAGGTGCAAGATACATCAGGTACATGCAAGCAAGTAGCCTTAGAGATGTATAGAGTTGTACAATCAGTAACTTATAAATCTAAAATAGGATTTGGTTAAAAAACATAGTCCGATTTAGAAATGCATTTTCTTTATCTCCATAAACAGTCTTTTTCTTAACATGCAAGGAGATTTAATTTTGAAGTACATGAAACTGTTTATTCTTCAATAGATTTGCAATTTGTATTCCAATAACATTTCAATTATGTTGAAGTAACACAATCGAACTCTGTTAAGTTGTCAGAACAATTTGATTATATTGCCACTACGCTTGATTAAACACTATAGTTGGGGTTAAGTTCATAGAAAATATCAGATAAATTTGAAGTACAAACATAATTTCTATATTCACAATTTTGAGAGGAATAATATTGACAAACCTTTCTATTTATTTATAATGTTATAGTTTCACAATTGACGCTGCTTTATGTTGAATAATAATTCTGGCATCCTTTTGTACTATCCCAATAACAAAAGAAGTCAGAATCTAGACAAGCTATTCTATTATAGATCTAAACACAAGATAGAGGTTTTGTAGGAGTACAACTAGTTAAACTACAAGGGTATTCAAAGTTATAACAATCAGTATTGTCAGAGTCCTTTTTATAACAACTAGTATCCTTAAAGACACATGTTGTGTTTTGCCAATAACAATGAAATGGCGAAGCTTTGCAATTTTGTTCACTTAATTGTTTAGAACATTCTTTCCTTGAATCAAATGTGGTTAAGATTGAACATTAATTATTGCTGAATTAACATATCTATTCCGTTACATTCTGACAGCTATACTTATTAAATCCTAATTAACAAATCTTAGGACTAGTTTCAAAACTTTTACATGAATCAGTGAATTAACAAAACTTATTTGGTACATTCATACACTAATTGTAATTGATTGCATCGGTACAATTAGTTAATGTTTTAGTAGAACATGTTTTAGTTGTATCATTCCAATCACATAAATTATCATTAATAGCTAAACAAGTATTTTTATTGACATCTGTATTACAATTTAAATTGTCTAATTAAGAATTTGAACACTAATTATTAGACCATTTGCAATATCCAGTAGTCTATTCAACACAAGCCTTTTTGTTCAATCCCATATTTTCACAAAGTTCAATTGTATAAGTGAATGTAACACATCCTGTATTTGATGAATTTGCCATACATGCATTTGTATTACCTCCCTTACTACATAAGCTTGATGAGTATAAAATTGTAGGATTAGCTGGAATTGATGCAGGAACGTAACAAGCAGTTTGAATTGATGATGTACATGTATGTGATGCAACGTTCCATTAACAAACAAGATTTGAGTTTTCTATATTAATGCAAGCATATTTATTTAAAAGAGTGCAATCATTCAATTAAGTGAGATCAATCAATTGTTAACACTGATTATCAATCCATCCACAATTGATATTTAAAATATCACTTGTTATTTCAATACAACTTTATTTATTTAAATACTGGCATCCTTAAACATTGACATAGTTTGCAACTGTAAGTTATACGCATTAATAATTATAGATATCATAATAATAAGGATTTCCTGTTAATTAGGTGCATCCATATAAATTTAGATTAGCATTAAAAGCACTCGAAGTACTACAACTTGTAGGTGAAGTAGTAGGATTTCCTAATAAACAAGATGTATTGGCTCTGATTGCGCATTCAATGTTAGTAGTAAAATCAGAACAATTATTAGTTTCTTTTAAGATTTTACACTTTTAAGTTGAAGATTAATACATGCATTTCTTACTATCCTAATTGCTTATTTTTGAACATCCAGAGTAATTGATTAAATATGATTAAACATCTGAACAAACTTAAGTTGTTACATCTTGGCAATTTGTGCCATCCCAATAACAAGCCAAAGTATCTGAAATATCAGATAAACATAATGAATTTGATAATTAAGAACAACTTAAAGTCTATGTTGTATCAATGCAATAATATCCAAATTAGAACTTACAATTTTAATATTTTTAACACATCATCTTACTATATTACATTAAATGAGGACATTAACTAGGATTATCACTTGTATTTTTGCATCCTTAACCTTTAATAAATGTACATATCACTTACCATTAATTTAAACAATCAAACTAGTTTAAAAATGTACTACAATCTTTTGTATAATTGATTTTATCATTCTCAATTTGACTAAGCAAGCTGTAGTCTTTGCATTTATTGTTAATGTATTGACAATATGGATATTACCTACAAAATTTGTAATTAGTATAATCATATTTATCGCATTTAACTGTTAAATTTTAAGTATAGCATTATCCTTCATCATAAACACAGTTATAATAAAGATTATTGATGCAATCTTCTTTTGTAAACTCATATTCGCATTATTTCTTTGAAATGTTCTTGCAAACACCATTTGTAAAGACGCAATTTTATAAAGATTTCTCACAAACTGTTTTTCCAACTCCAGGAGTGTCACATTTTAAATTAATAATAGTTGCCATTTACTTGCAACCATTCAATATTCCATAGCAACTCGATGTGTTTGAACACAGATACCATGAATAATTTGTTATTGCAGCAGGACATTTTGTTGAAGTATTATTTTAAGTACAAACATTATTAAAATAACCACATTCCATATTCATATTTAAGCATGCTTACTTATTCAGTTAATTGCATGAAGTTACATTAGTGAGATCAGATGTACATTTTCCATTTATAAATGCACATTAACCATAGGTAGCCTCGAAACAGATATTACTATTGATTCCTGGTTCATCACAACTATAATAGTTAGTATTTGATGGCACCTCACAATTAGTCTGAGCAGTGTTGATCTTACATCGAACTTTAGTAGCATAAGTATTGTCACTATAAACTGAATTAGCACAATATTAAATTGGATTGTAGGTTGAAATGTTTCCTGGAAATTAGCATATAAGTTTAGGGTCAATTACCATAAAGCAAAAGTTAGAATTAAGTTAACAGACACTATTTTTCACTTTTTTACAAGTGTTTCTATTGGCTTAATCACAACTTATTCTTTTCAAATGATAATCCCAATAACGATTCGATGTTGCATCTGAAGGCTCATTTTTGCACTGCTGATCAGCAAATATACAATTTCCACTTGTCAACTATGAACAGGTTTATCGATTTAATAATAAATTAGCATTTCCACAAGATGCCACGGTGGTAGAAGAGGTAATAGAAGCACATAGTCTGTCTGGAAATTTATAAGCACAATAATATTCATCTAGTGATTGTCTTGGAACAGGAGAGATGATACTAATACAACCTGCCTGACTAAGTGATGTATTAGCCAAACAATTATAACGTTACGTAGATTTAAAATAAACACATTTTTCTCCATCCCATGAACACTTTTCATTAGTTTTTATAATCTATTGGCATGCCTTTTTACTAAGATAAAACCCTTCACAAGTCAAAGTTTCATATTTAGTGGCTGATAACGTTTAGCATGAATCTCCAGCAAAATAACAAGATTCTGTGCTGAATTAGCATGCATATTTATTAAAATAAGTTTAACAAGTGGTTGGGGCAACTGTTACTAAAATACATTTGTTTGCAAGAAATTGGCATCTTTCAGTTGATTATAATACACACACTTTTTAAGATACATTATTGTATGATGTGCAATATTGATTGAATGATGTCACTTAGGAACAAACTCCATTACTCCATTTGCATGGTTGATCAGATAAACCAAGACAAACTTCTTTTTTTATTCCTTGATCATCGCATGTTAAATTAGTGGATTAAGTTTGACAACTCTTTGTTTACAAATTGTATTTACAATTCATAAACTAAGCACATGCAGGAGCTGAAACATTGATTAAAGCATCACAACTAGTTTGAGTGACTAGAACCTTGCAAACTTCATATAAAACATCCCATTAGCATTTTGGAGTGTTTAAACATAATTCCTAGTTAAAAGAACTGCTATCTTCTGTTTCACAAGTATTTTCTGTTTAATATTAGTCGCATATCATATTAGTATACTTTCTGTTCCCTGATGAGTACATGCATAATTTTCTATTTACAACCATTGTTTTGGGGAAGGATTAAAATAGTTTTAATTTCTAATCCGATAAGACGTTTATACATTTCCCCTCATTATCAAGCCAAATACATTCTTGTCCCATTTTTCGTATTGATCCACATGAGAATTTTGAAACGACAGCACCACAATCCAGAATGTTAAGTTAGTAGTCCTATAGTTATATGCATTATTTATTGGTGTCATCCCAAGTACATAATAGTCTCATATTCACACAATAATATTAATTTACTCCTGGCTATTTGCATCCCAATTTGGGAACACACCCTATAAATTCGTTTGATTCTTGAGTCCAATTACAATTATCGCTATTACACAAACTTTGTTGACTTACGATACATTCTTAACTACAAACAGGAGGAGAATTTAAAGTATTCAAATAACACCCTTCATTTCCAGATATGCCTTTGCATCTTCTAAAAGTGTCTAAGGCTTCTGCAACGCAAGTAGTCTTCTGTGTGTATAAGCCGCTAATACAACTGAATTCTTTTTCTAGCCCATCAGAACTCAAGGGTTAGGGAAGGCAATTTAAGTTGATGTATGAGCACCTATTCCTATCGACATATCTACAAAAGATCTCATTTGCTGTAAGAAATTGTTAGTCTTGTAATTATAATTCTTGAGATATTAAAAGGCATTTTTAATGAGTAAATATTGCTTTAATATATCTGCAATAAATATGGTTAACACCTACTTCCTGAATTTTAGTTGAGAATAGCATTTAGTAATCATTGTCGTCGACTATCTCTAATGCTATACAGCCTTCTCGCTCTCTGTCACTAATTTTCACTATGTTAAAATTATTTAATACAATTGCTTAATCCACTTCCAAGTGGCTGACCTAATTCATACCATTAAAAGTAACCACCAGAGCTTACGAAATTATTTTTTAAAGTTCCTGTTTCATATACTTTGCTATCAGCTTCTACTTACAATCCTAAGTCTTTTCTGTAAAGGCGCTCTGATTCTAAAACGAAATTTGGTTTATACTGGGTTAGTGTCCACAATAACGTATGGTGTATAATGAGATAATCTAATTAGATACAAGTGTACTTTCGATTCTTCCACAAACAGATGCACTGTATAATTTATTCTAAAAGTCTTTCAAATTATCCATTTGAGGGACATAATCACAACTGTATGTGTTCTCATTCCATTCGCAAAGCTCCGAAGTTTTTTGAATGGACATACATCCATGTTTGGAAAGACTATCCTAACAATTAACTTAACTCAAATCCTATATTGGTTAACACTTCGATATAAAAATACCTAAGAGAAAACATTTATTGCATACATTTGGCTAATTCTCCTGAGGCATACGCCAATTATTTATTGCAGGCTTTCTTGTTCAACAACTCAGAACACCCAAGTTCTAAGTTTTTTGTAAAATTACATGCATCAGAGTCCCAAATGCCTGTTAATTATATAAAATATATATACATTGGTCATCTATACTTCTAATGCAATCATCATAAGTTCTATATTCTATGCATCTATCAGCACATTGCACTTGTGATAAAGAAAATAGTATTAGGAATATATTTAGTACAAACCTATATGAGTGAGTCATAAAACAATTAAATTATGTTAAAGTTGAAATTTGGAAATGAAAATATATAAGGTCATTTTAATTTTAATTAAATAAACAACACATTTTAAGTTATCAAAAAAATGGATTTTATGGCTTCCGTTTTTTAAATTTTACATTCTCAATCGCATAGAGTCATGCTTCATGAAAAAATGTACTATTGAAAGCATTCGGTTATTTTAGGGGTCAATGGAAATTAAGAATTAAAATAAATTAGCCATAAATATATATAGAATTGATTGAATAAACGCTTTTTAATGATATAACAATTAATCCGAATATTAATCTCTAGATAGTTGATACATGCAAAATAATTAACTTAACTTAATAATTCATATTAATCAAAATACAGCAATAAAGAATGTTGGAATCATCAACAAGACCATTTAATACGTTGTTGATATTTCTATGGTAATGCTAAGACTTGGAGGATTAAAAGTTCCTGTTTGGCATAAATTAATTGCCTCATCGTAATAGCATTCATTGGTTCTGGAATTGCATTCATCTGCATCTATAATTTTGCTACAATGAATCAAGCATTAATTATTAAGAGTACTCCAAAGACATCTATTGATAGCATTACATTATTCTTTCTGTCCCAATTCATTACATAAAAAAGAACGACAAGTATTGTCATCCCACACACATATTTCAACTTTCTCGTTACATTGACAAGCATCTTTTATTTATTCGCAAGGTTAGCATTTTTGGTCAATCAATGCACATGCATAATTCCCGTATTAATTCCCATCACATAATTCTGATATTCCATATAAAGCACATACTTAGGATGTACATAAAACATCATTTAAATAAATATTGTACTTTTAAAGGGAGCATGTGTCCATTGTACGTATAGTTTATCCATCGCAAATCTCAGAATCTAATTACTAGCAACTTTAGTTTTCGACGCAAGTTCCATTCGATAAAGTCTTGCAATAATTACCTAATTGATGGCAATTACTTAACTCTGAACACTTTTTAACTTAACAAATATTCTCTTCATTATAACTACAAAAGCTATTTTGACAATCTGAATTTTAACAGTATTCCAGATAATTGTTGTAAGTGAAACATCTATTGTTTGTTCCTACACAAGGTTATCCATTAAAAATTACATTTTCACATTAAGAATTACTAAAATTAAAGATATCTTCACATTTTCCTGCTGATTAACAAGAATATCCAGTATAATAGCATGTATAATTATTTAAGGAGCCAAAACATTCAGATTTAATAAGATCTTCACAATACCTTCTTCTACAAGTCTTCAATTTTTAATCAAAGTAGCATTTTGTATTTTATTAGCAATTTTCCTTTGAGAGATCACTGCAAAATTAAGGGGATACGACAAGTGAGCATTCGCATTTCAACAAATCATTATTAAATTTACAGGATGGATTATACAAACATGCATTTTTTGAAAGTCCTAATGTAGAACATTTTTAGCTATTTGACACTACTTAACACTGTCTTATCAATTAGTCATAAGAACATGCTTAATTGAGTGAAGCGCATGCCATTTCATTAACTAATTGTGCTTAGTCGCAGGAGTAAGATGAAGGTATTCTCTAACATTTATTTTACTTGAATATGCAAGGTTCCCTGATTATTTACGTACAGGTTTCAAGACTCACTCCTGGAGTATCACAGAAGACAGCATTTAAATTATATTAAGAAATGCAAGATTATTTTTTGTCATCATAAATACAGGGTGTTAATGATAAAACACAAGCAGCTGAAGAACTCTAATATTTTTGATCGCATTCAAAAATTGTTACAGGAATGCATTAATCATCCCAATATGCTGCAGTTGAAAGCGATAGACAAGCTGATTTAGAAAGTCCCCCATAAACAGTCACAATAGTTTGGGCAGTGACACAAGAATTTACAACCTCATTAAAATCGCAGGCGTATTTTGTCAATAATTAGCAAGTTCTTCTGTTTACATTTGTATAGGAGGAGCATGAATAATTTAAATAAGGCACTCTCTTGCAAGTTAAAGTAGCATTGTCAAATTAACAAGGTTAAGCTGTTATATTTAAACATGTTTATTTTGAGATCAATTTAGTTTCGCATTATGTTATTTCTTTGTCCAAAAATTCATTAAAATTTTAAATAGAAGTGAATTTAAAGCATTGTCTGTCTCTCCATTGTAAATTAAACTTATTACAACCATTTATGTTTAAACTTTGAGCATCCAAAGAAGTTTCATTAGTTATTTATATGCAGGAACCATTCCAATAGCATTCATATGCAGTTGATAAAATGCAATCTTACTTTGTACCATAGGAATCGCAAGTTTGAGTCTCAATTTGATGGCTTATTTCAGTACTTGCTAATGTTTAAGAGGGATTTATAATAAAATAATAATCAGTGATGCGAGGTGAACAACTATCCGTTTTGAATTCACAAAACTTAGGAGCGTATTTATCACATACATTCCTATTAACTTTCAATGTTTCTAGGCATTAAATTTCTGATAAATATGTAGTATATGAAGAGCATCCTAAGTTATCATCCCATTAACAATATAGGCTGGAACTTAAGCATCCGTATTTATTATAAATTTAAATGCATGCTTGAGGTAAATAATTAACACAGGGATTCAACTTATATGGTAAATAATCAACCTTTATTTCTGGAGTAACATTATTACATATTGTTAGTGAAATACATTTTGAATCTTGCCATTCACAATGGTTAGATTCACAAAGGAGTTGATCTACGTATTTTGAGCATCTTTGCCAAGAATCAATCTAGAATAGGACAGTGCACTTAAGATCTTAAAATTAACATGTTACACCTTCAACGTTTTTACAAGCATACTTATTATATCCAAATTTACAAGCTTGTGAAACTTTGTCAAGCTAACTACACCTATCATTGAGATATTAACAAAACTTATTTGGTACATTCATACACTAATTGTAATTGATTGCATCAGTACAATTGGTTAATGTTTTAGTAGAACATATTTTAGTTGTATCATTCCAATCACATAAATTATCATTAATAGCTAAACAAGTATTTTTATTGACATCTGTATTACAATTTAAATTGTCTAATTAAGAATTTGAACACTAATTATTAGACCATTTGCAATATCCAGTAGTCTATTCAACACAAGCCTTTTTGTTCAATCCCATATTTTCACAAAGTTCAATTGTATAAGTGAATGTAACACATCCTGTATTTGATGAATTTGCCATACATGCATTTGTATTATCTCCCTTACTACATAAGCTTAATGAGTATAAAATTGTAGGATTAGATGGAATTGATGCAGGAACAAAACAAGGGGTTTTATTTGATTGCTAACAAGATAGTGTTACTATATCCCATTAACAGACAAGATTTGAATTTTCTATATTAATGCAAGCGTATTTATTTAAAAGAGTGCAATTATTCAATTTAGTGAGATCAATCAATTGTTAACATTGATTATCAATCCATCCACAATTGATAGTTAAAATTTCACTTGTTATTTCAATGCAACTTTTTTTATTTAAATACTGGCATCCTTAAACATTGACATAGTTTGCAACTGTAAGTTAATCACATTTATAATTATAGATATCATAATAATAAGGATTTCCTGTTAATTATGTGCATCCATATAAATTTAGATTAACATTAAAAGTACTAGAAGTACTACAACTTGTAGTTTAAGCATTAGGATTTCCTAATAAACAGGAGGTAGTGGCTCTAATTGCGCATTCAATATTAGTAGTAAAATCAGAACAATCATTAATTTCTTTTAAGATTTTACACTTTTGAGTTGAAAATTAATACATGCACTTCTTATTATCCTAATTAAATATTTTGGAACATCCAGAATAATTGATTAAATAAGATTAAACATCTGAACAAACTTAAGTTGTTACATCTTGGCAATTGGTGCCATCCCAATAACAAGCCAAAGTATCTGAAATATCAGATAAACATAATGAATTTGATAATTAAGAACAACTTAAAGTCTATGTTGTATCAACACAAAAATATCCAAACTAGAAATCGCAATTTTCGTATTTCTAACACATCATCTTACTATATTACATTAAATGTGGACATTAACTAGGATTATCACTTGTATTTTTGCATCCTTGTGCTTAAGTATATGTACATATCACCTTCCATTAACTTAAACAATCAAACTAGTTTAAAAATGTACTACAATCTATTGTGCCATATTTAATTAGATTATTCTAGATACCTTTATGCAATGTTAAATCAACACAGTTCAGTGAATTAAAATTGTACTTACAATTTGGGAACTATCTACAAAATTTATAATTTGTTGATTCGTAAACATCACATTTAATGAATTTATTTTGTGTGTAGCATTTATTATTGATAAACACACAGTTATAATATAAATTATTAGCACATTATTCTGATGTTAATTAGTATTCACACAAATCTTTTGAAATTACTTAGCACTTTGAGTTAAAGAATTAACAATACATGTTAGATTGATAACATACTGCTTTACCAATTTATGGACTATTACAACTTGTAGGTGAAACTTAAGAAGCCGATATGCTATAGCAACTAAATTGATTAGCATAGCAATTATCTATCAATGAACAACCTTAATAATCTTAAGCAGCACATGGTTTGGTCAAATCGACGCTTCTGTCTTTACAAAGATCATCTTATCTGGTGTACTATTAGACGCAATTACGACTTGAATTTAGGCAAGCCCATTTATTTAAATTTTAGCACTCTTCATTTCTTAACGTGGCATCCACGCAGACATAATTAACAAATGCGCATTAACCATATGATTAGCTCATACATATCCATTTATTTATTCCCAAAGCATTGCAGGCGTAACGATTGGTCGTTGTTACTTAAGTGCATTTATATGTAGCTTTATCATAAAGGCATGGGACAAGATTAAAACCTTGAAGTTATGCACAAACTTAAGGATTAAATTAACCTTAAGCCTCTTAAATCCGATAAGCATCATAACTAAGGATGTAATCGAAATCAATACGTCCACACGGAATAATAGATGTTTTAACTTCACCGCATCGCACATCCTAGTAGGAATTCCAAGATTAATTGATCTTCTAGCAAACTTTTCCTCTGACACGTGTACAAATTTGCAAACTAGCTTGAGCACAATCTATAATATCAAGTTAGCTATCCCAATATTTATGAGTTAAGTCTACTGTAATGCATTTCAAATCCTTATATATACATTAACCAGTAGCATAAGCACTGCATCTATGAATATTAAAATTTCCATTTGATTCACATCCTAAAATGGATGTTGTTAAAGAATCACAAGTTTTAGAGATTGCGTTGTATTCACAATAATACTATGGACTCAAATAGCCTGTAATTTCAGCAGCTATGCCAACACAACCCCACTTATTTATTTTTAGTGTTTGTAGGCAATTAAACTTTTCTGTAATATACTTACATTAATTGTTCTACCAAATACATTATTCTCCAGGTGTTTCAAGAGCAATACAAGCAGATTGACTCAGATAAAAACCTTCGCATAATTGACCTAGTTAGTAAAATGTTTAGCAATTAATGTTAAAATAACAACTACCTTGACTTGCCTGGCAAGCTAGTTTGTTAAGCGAATTTGAGCAATCATCAGGTTGTGTTTCAACTAACTCGCAATTTCCATTATTGTATCTACATAAATTGGTTTCCTATAGAACGCAAACTGATTTTGTCACAGACTTATAAGATGAACAAGGTTCTCTAAATATAAATAATTCAACACATTAGAATCCAACCCATTAACAATTTTAACTGTTTAAAGCTAAACAAGCACTCTTAGAAATTCCAGGAGTTGTACAAAAGATTTGAGAACTTAGTGATACACAACTAGCTTTAGATACATCATAAATGCAGTCATTAAATTAAGTACAGCAATCAGGAGAAACATTAGTCATCTCATCGCAAAAGGATTTTAAGACTGCCTTCTCACACGCCTATATCTAAACATTCCAATGACAGTTTTATGTTGACAAACAGAGTTCTTTGCCAAAGTTTCCTGTGTCTTCGCTTTCACAACTTATGGGACTGGAATCAATAGTACAAATATAATTCTTATATATATGCTTTCCTTTTTAATTCATACAGAGTTCTCTATTCACAACATATTTTGTGGGAAAGGATTCAAAATTTTTCAGCTCTGGAACACTTAAGATATTCAGACATTTTAAATCTTCATCAATCCAAATACACTCTTATCCAAATGTCTTAATGTTTCCACATAAATATTTACAATTGGCTTCCGAACATTTTAAATTGAAAAGCTAGTAATACTTGATCTAATAACATCGATTTTTAACAGAATCCCATTAACAAAGCTAAGCCATAGTCTTACAGTAATTTAAATTCAATCCTGGATGATCACAACCATACTTAGGAATACATCCATAAAATCCTTGTCCTTCATTGGTCCAATTACAAGATTTGAGATCACAATTACTCTATTCAAGTACATAACATTTCGAGCTACAGGCTGGTGGGGATATATCGAAATCCAAATATATTCCAACTGTTTGATTTGCATCTGAAATACAATCTTTATATGTTTAATACACTTGAACATTTGATAAACATCCTTAAGCACTTACCAATTAACTTAAAGAGGCAGCACATGTAATTAATTGTTCATTTTAACCATCTTTAATAATTGGATAGCAGTTTTAATTAACCACTGCGCATTCCTTAATATTTAATTAATAACAATTTATTTAATTTTCTTGTAAAAACGAAGGATTTGTTAGAATAGTTACATCATCATAATAGAAGCATCTATAATTGATAAAGATTCCTCCTTGATATCGGCAATAAATTTTATTCACTCCCACAGATTCCTTCTTATTTGAAAATAATAAATTATAATCATCATCATCCGTTATTTATATTGCAATACATCCTTCTCGCTTCCGGTCGCTTATTTTTACTATTAGATTATAAATGCTATTGTCTTACAGTTTTTAAGTTGTTTTCCTTGTAGGTCATTTAGAATATACCACTAAAAATAAGATACTTGGTTCGGTTCATTACAAACATTATAAACGTAATTATTTACTAACTAGCCTGTTTCATAAGAAAGCTTATTCTCTTGTGTCCCCAATCCTAAATCCTAATTGTAAATATCCTCTGACTCAGTTACAAAGTCAGGAGTGTAAGACATAGCATCCCAAATTATAGAACTATGAATTACCAAGTAGTCTAATAATTTTCTCTCTAATAAATACTTTCAATTCTGCTACAAACAGATGCGCTATACAGAACATCCTAAAAGTCATTCTAATAATTCTCTTTCGACACTTTCATACATTAATATGTTAATGAATCCCAATAACATAATTGATCAATATTGGTTATTTCCAAGCAAGCATGTTTCGTTATTGCATCATTGCAAGTTAAGACTGATAATTCAATAACGGGCTAGCAAGCATTCTTAAAGATACCTAATCAATTAAATATCTATATATACATTTGGCTCTCTCGTTTAAAGAATTGGATAACTATTTTACACATGCCATTTTATTTAAAAACCTTGAACATCCAAGTTATAAGTTTTTATTGAATTCACAATACTCCTAATTCCAAAAACCTATTTAACTTATAAAATTTCAATACATTGACTGTCAGTACTCAGAATACAGTCTGAATAAGTTCTATACTCTAGGCATTTGTCTATGCAATAAACAATCAGAAATAAATTAGATATAAGAAGCAATTTCATTAGTTAATTTAAAATTTAATCAGACAATAGTAAGATTCACAATTAGTTAAACGAAAACTATAATAAGGAACAGCCTATAATTTAAGCATTAATTAATAATTTTGATTCAACAAATCAAAAGCATTTAACATGAGATTTTCAGTTTAAACTATCATAGTTTAATTTTTATTGAAACCTATGCTATTCTAATGGCAGTATCTATAAATTCAGTTAAATTTTATTGATGAGTAGATTCATAATATTCAAATACTATTATTTTTTGAAAGTAGGAAAGTGTTGATTAATTAAGAATATAATTAGATTGCCCTAAATATATATTTATAAACAATTAATATAAAATATTAATACATTTATATAAATAATGTCAAATTAGGATATCGATTTCCTTACAGTAACTCCAGAAGTTAGAGAATTATATTCCATTCCTACCGATTAAAGAATAATCGACTCATATAAATTCTAGATTAATTAGGAATGCATATCATTCAGTCAAAAATTTTTTAATTCTAATGTAATAAGGAAATACTAAATCACTAGTTTATTTCACCAATTGCTTCTGTTTTATCTGCTGGTGTATGCACTATCTCATACATATACTTGAGATAACCAGCTGGAGATGTTGCAAGACAAATCAAATTTGAGAGAATGAATCCAGCCAAAAGATTGGTTCTGTAATTTATAATTATTATACATTTAGTCGGGGAACACCAGCTTTATCTTTGTTTGCCATGGTGTATTTTGCTAGATAGTGCAAATCATATTGATAAAATATGCATAAAAAAATACCAAAATTATTATTATTTAATCACTTCTGTGCTCATTAATTTAAGCATTATTCCTTATTCTCTTAATTATATAAATATAATATAATTTGATCAAGAGGCGGAAATTATTAAAAGCCTATTCATATAGTTAAATTTTCATTTTTAAAAAAAGAATTAATTAACTTCTCCAAATAAATATTTTATAAAAATTTATATTTATATATAATATATCAGTAAGCTATCAATAAGCTATCAATTATGTTTACATTTAATGCTATTTTGATCAAAAAGATGCTTCTTTTATGATAGATGCTATGAACTGTTTGACAATTTCCTCTCTGGGTTATAATTTTGATTATTTGACAAATCTCCTATCATTTATTTCAATTTCGAAATTTCTTTCTATGACGTTAAATTTTCCCTCTCAATTTCATCTAACTTTCTATTATTTTTAGAGGTTATAAACCCAGGTTTTGGTTGTTCAGAACAAAAATTTTCACATTATTAACTAATAGTAATGGATTATCTTCGTAATACCATATTATTCATATTCTATTCTTTAGTCTAAATATTGTCATCAAATTTAGAGGTTAACTTTTAATTATTGTCTCTTAGATTTACATTTTCTTTTTAAAGTTCAATAATTATCTCATGTAAATCAGCATTTTCACTTTGCACTCTTTCTAACTAGCTTCTCAATTGAGTGTTGGCTTATTATATTGCTTAATTTTTCTACATATCTTTATATAGTTCTTTTTTTTAATTTTCGATCTTTTCTTAGCTCATAGTTAATAACTAATTAATTTTATCGATTTCGATTTAATTCATGTCATTTAAGCTTACTTTTTATTATTTAATATTTTATATTTCGATCTCTTTCTCTTCTAAGAAGATTTTTTATTTTGAAATAGTGGTTTATAGATGTTTTTTCATTTATTCGTATTCGGATTTTTGCAATTCTATTTAAAGATTATTCGATTATTATTCTATTAAGAGGTTCTAATACTGGAAATTAATGTTATCTAACTATTAATTTAATTGTTTAATTATTTCGTTTTATTATTGTACTTTTTTTTAGAGTAAACTAACATCATCTTTGCCTGTTTATATTTCATAAGCAGATAAGTTGTTAGGTTTTTTGAAATATTTATTGTCTTATTCTCTTTATCTAACCTATTAATTGATAAGTTAAGTTAAATTATTATAGCCTTTAGTAGTAGTTGGTTCATTATAATCGCGCAGATCGATCTACTTTTACTAAAACAATATATTATCATCTTTTAGAACTTTCTTAAACTCATTTTCGTATTGATTTATCTACTCTTTTTACTTTTATGTGATTATTTCTAACTATAATAATTAAGACTTCAAAATACAAATTTGATTATTCTAATCTTAATGTATTTGAACTAATTCATCATTTTATTGTTTTTGAATAACCAAATCTTAGTGATTTTACTACAATTTTTACAATAGTTGATTTCTTTCAGTATTAACTTAATCATAAATAATAGGAATGGAATCATTTTCGAGAATAACTTAATCAAGTTATTATTACTAATAATACATGTCTTAAATTTGCTGTTCATCCATAAGAATTCCAGATAAATCCAATTTTAAGGATTTACATTTATCACATTTATAATTTTAATCTGATTTCAATTTGGTTAATATTAAAGTTTGCTTCGAAAATTTATTTTTGACATCTCCAATTTCATCTTCTAATTTTTAATTTGTTTATTATAACTAAATTATTTATTTATTCTATTCATTTATAGTGTTATTGGCTTTTTATAGCTGTTTAGTAATATCTTAGTCTAGTTATTAAAAGCCATTGCTGTTTTCCAGCATAACTTTTTATTTTGCTTATAAATCTTGTTAATTTTATATATATTCAATATTTTTTGAATTACTCCTAAATTTTTCACAAGATTACAAGTCTTCAATTTATAGGACAGAGTTTTCTTTATATTAACTAAATTCCTTTTATAAAATAGCATAATTTAATTCTATTTTTTCTCTTAATTAATATTCTGATAGATATTAAGATTACATTATTTGTATTTGATTTTATGCTTCATTCAGATTTTTTACAGTATCATCAAATTATCTCTTAATTTATTGGTATTATTTATTGACTTTTTCAAATTCTTAATTCAAATCTAATTCTTATTTTTTCATTTGATTAATTTATATTTCCTACTGGTCATTTTTATTTTTATAATTAAGAACCTTTTGACTAATATTTATAATTTCCAATTATTTTTCTTCTAATTGCTTCTTGAATTGTTAACATTAATTATCTTGCTCTGATTTTGTTGACTCTTTTAGCTTTTCTTATAATAACCTTTTATTTTCGTAAAATTGCTATTCAAGAAGGTTATATTTATGCTATTAATCCTAAATACAAGATTCATAATGTATTTTTTATGACTAGAGATCTTCTTCTAGTTATAGAATATCATTTTGTATATTGTTTTTATTATGCTCAAGTTGTTTTATTTCTTCAACTTGATTGCGAAATTCTCGAAGAAGTTTTTCATTTTTTTCAATAACAGTAGATTTCTCATACTCAAGTTACGATATTTTTTTATGAGATTCTTAAATAGTATCTTTTTGGGAATTTACCTCATTTTTAAGTTGCTCTAATTCTTGTAATAATTAAGAGGTATTAGAGAATTAATAATTAGGAGATTGCGTACTGTTTTTCTCGAAATATCTACTATGGTTTTCTTTGCTTTGATTTTATCCATTTTATTGTATCAATTCTGTTATCGAAGATAAAGACTTTCTTTATATCATATTATGATCTTTCAATTGATTATGTGCTTTAAAAGAATCCTTTGGATCAATAGATTTGTTTTTTAAATCGAATTAACTATTAAAATCTATGCTTTCTTAGGGTATAGAATTGAATTTCAAGCAAGGGAAACTTTAATTATTGAATTTAGGTGAACTACTCTCTTGTGAGAGTCCTTTGCTTGGAACTTAATATAATTTATCTTAATGATTAGGTCTATAAAAAATGGAGTTCACTCCTCCTTCCTAATTAGATGTTTATGGCTTTCTATTTTAAGAAGTTGAATATTATTCATTTTGTTTTACATTGTTATATTAAGATGTTTACTAACAAGGTTAAGAATAGTCTATTTATTGATTTGGAATAATTGGTTATTTTGCTTCTAAATAAAGAGAAGGCTAATTATTTTAGTTTAGAGAACATTATTATTCTAAAAGCTCTTCAAGTTGTTAAATCTAATTTTATAATTATTGTTTTTCTTTTAAATATTACTATTCCATGATTTCTTTTTGTTAGATTAGCTTATCATTTTTCAATTTGTCAGATTAAGATAAATTTCTGGTGTGATTTTTAATTCTAATATCCGTTAAGGCTTCTTCCTTTATATCCAATACTTTCTTAAGTCTTGATAATAATTTAAAGTTTTACTTTGAGATTTCTTTCCTAGCAAGAGATAGTTCTCCTTTGAATTTAGCTACAGACTCAGTTTAGAGAGAAACCTATTGCGTGAGTTTTTTATTTTCTTGGATCAAATTTTCACATTTTAGTTTAATAGAGGAATCTTATTCAAGATTAAGAATTCTGGTTTCCAATTCTATCAGCTATTATTCATTGGGTGTGTTTATAGGAGATTCTTTATTGAATGTTGAAGTATGATGCAAACTTGCCACTAATAGTTATTTACTTTCTGTCTACCTCTGTCAACCATCACTGGAGTTTTCATTACGGGCATAGGAGCTGGAGGTAGTGATCTAGATACTTAAGATGGATTAACAGCCACTCTCATTAAAACTAATATTATTATAAATTTGAAGCTAAACCCAAACTATATATTATCTGATATTTTATGTAATTGCCTCTATTCATTGTCTAGGTATATTAGTACCAAATTGTTAAATATATGTAATTATGTTATGCTTATAATGATATTGATAATGTACTCATTTTTTAATTAAATTCATTTTTCCTAACTCTTTTTTAATTCACTCACGTAGACAGCCTCACAAGCATCCAAATATGTATTTACTAGAGTTTTGTACTTCACAAACATCTAATACTTGGCTAGTTCATACTGAAATAACCCAACAGCTCCTCCAACGCATGCCCCATATAATAGCAAAGGTGGTTTTGCCATTTTGGCCAGTCTCTAGTAGAAGAGAGCATTTCCTTCTGGAGACTGATTTAAATGATTTGAATGCGTACTTCAAGAGGGTTTCTGAAGAATTTTGGGAAGCTCAAAAATCTTGTGGATGCAAGGATGACAGCGGATATGGCAAATGCTGCTGTGGGATATGTAAAAACCAGACGATATTTATCATTCAGAAATTCGACATCTAAAGATATAATTAGTAACACACCTTATGGACTAATTTGATATTGAGTTTCAGTCTCCATAAATAATTAATAAACAAAAAAGAGTCACAACTTTTGAACAAACCAATTGTCAGCGACGAATTCCAATCAGTTTAATTTCGTTATCCCTTTCTTCCTCTTCATTCTCTTCATAAATGCTCCACATACGAGAAGCTTCCAAATATCTTGAAGATCTTGGTGAACTATTTCTTGGAGAACCTTATCTGTGCGATTCCACATATTTTTTTATTTCGTGGACCATATACCCCTATTTTCCCTCTACAGATGAACGATAAATGGCCTGCAGTTAAAACATCAATTCCGATTGAGATTCGAGTACCATAACTAAACTTAAAAATTGAAGTACATTTTAAATCATCCTTCTCTTATTTATTAATTAGATCCTACTAAAATAGTAACGATATGATTTTGAACATATCGTAATAAAAATGAGATTATTGCATATATATTTATAATAATTTAGTATATCATCATTTAGAAAATCTATTCCAATGCAAGATTTACACTAATTCCTTCTTATTCTTAAAGTTAGAATCAAAGATTTTGTATCATATCACATCATACCATCTGAAGGTTTATTTTCCATATACTCTGAAGGCGTATACCAATTTAAATCCCATACTTGATAGCATGAAAATAACAACAGATCTATGTTCACAATTATTTTCATCTCTTAAAAATCATTTATTCATACTTAACATTTCATAATTTTGGTTTAAAATTAATAAAGATACATAATTTTGAAACAAAGCATATATTCGTTAATATACAAATTCAATTTTCTTAGAGCAAGATTTCTGGGCCACTGCTAAAGTATAGAGTAGATATAAATTTCCAAGCGAATTTATTAACCATTATAAAATCCTTATCTATTTGCAGATTGTCTTTCAATTGACTGTCTTACAAAGTTTTAATTATTACTTATTGAAGACTTCGGGAGTTCTTAAGTAAGACATTGTTGTTAATATAAAATATCCCATATTTGTTTTTGTCAGTAAGTCTCTAAAAATACTTTTGCAAATCTCTGCTATTAACCATGTTGCATTTTGATAACTCATTTATTGACATAAGTTCTTAGACATATTTTAATTCAACTTGACAAACATCCAAATGCTATTTATGACTTCTGATGTAATCTATAGTTTCTTATACTTTTTTTTTCAAGTCTTATTCATCTTAGTAATTCTTGGAAACAACAATATTGTCCATTTTATACATGGTTTAAGAATCAAGCAACAATTTATTGATTGTTTACAATTATGCAATTAATTGATTCAGATAAAACTTAGAAAAATTTTGGTTTTCTTATGTTTTTTTACTAAAATGCAATACTTTTTTTTATTCTTCCTAAAAGGCTGATTAGTTAAATTAAAATAATTGTTCAACATATTTAAATTCCAACCATTTTAATTAGTTCTTTATATGTTCCATTTCATTGTTAAATTCTTTCCAAAGAGGATGGTTTACAGTTTTTTCATCTAAATATTTCTAAATCTTTAATTGATCTTTGTCTTATTTTTATATTGGATATTATTATTATTCTTCTTTTTTTTCAGGCTCTTATTTATTTATGACCATATTAGCTTTAGGTGTTTCAAATGCTGCCTCTTTATTTTCATTTTAATTTCTTAACTTGTTGTATAAATTATGATATTTCTCAATTTAACCCTCCAAGAATTCTATTTTCTTCTTTTATTCATCTATTTCCATTTATTAATTTACATAGGGCTGTTAAATCTCTTACCCAATGTCTTACTTTGTCTACAAACTATCTTTTGAAACAAACTCTTGATTTTTTTTAGGCTCTTCTGAGGTTACAACTTCTGATTACTCAATTGGATTCAGTTCTTTCTCCAGTATCTTTTAATTAAGCAAAAGACTTGTTTTTTATAAGATTTGAGCATATTTACTAATGTAATTTTGCCATTACCCATTAACTCTAGGCTAGAATTGATCTTCTTGTTTGACAATGTAAATTCCTAATCTCACCGCTATTTATTTTAAGTCATCAATATTGAATTAAGCAGCCCCTCTAATTTAATTCAGCCATTCGATAAGCTTATCTGAACTGCTATTCATGGATTCTACTAGTTTTTCCATGTTATCTAGTATTTTATTGACTTAGTTTCTAAATTGATTTAATGTATGCATAAAGTCGATCTTTAACTATTGTTTCATATCGTCTTCATTGTTTCCATTATTCAACTTATCAAGCAGTTCTTCCGCTAATTCAAAGTCAATAAAATTTCCCCCCATGCATGAAGAGCATCCTACTCTCTACTCTAAAGAACAACTCTATCCAATGTTCAAATATTTGATGGCCTTCTTGTGCATAGGACAAGTTATTGATTGTACTTTGTCTGAAATTCGAAACATTTTCTTAATTTAATTTAACAATAATAAATTAATACTCAAGTTAACATAATAATAATATTTTACGTTAAATCAGTCCTAGAATTGAGTCATACAAGAATCTCATAGATTTAGAAAAAGTATATTTTTAATAATATTGTAATGTATTATTCATAATCAACTTAGTAATTCAGCTTCCAATCTCTTCTGCTCTCCAAAAGGAACTGCATTATCTTCAACTGACAAAGTAGACATGTGACATGGCAAATCCACTTATTCATCATACTTTACGGCTTCCTAAGTAACTTGATCATGCATTTATCGTAATATTAAGGCTGCACTTTTTCCAGTCATATCGCATGGTCTTACACAATGTTTAATGGCATTGGCAGCATAGGATCCTTCCTCCATACATAGGATACATCTTAAAAAGAATAAATATTAATAGATACCCTCTTGGTAGAGGAACAGCAAATGCTCCATTGCAAAATCCATAGAATTAACTTCCAAAAGACAATCTGCAATCTGAAAATACTCTAATAGTATAGATTGGTTGTTTGAATCTAACAGCATCATCAAAATGTTATGCTAACCCTTCTTTTCCATCGTGATACACATTACAGGCAATAGAATTAATGAACTTTTTAGGTACCACATTATCATTTTCAAGTTTAGTAATGAGATTTCTCATCCACAATGGAGGTGCTGATACATCCCTTCTAACACCAGCAGCAACCATTGAATGAGGTTCTGCTAATTAACATTTAGTCCACATATATCTGTAACCAAAGAAGAATTTGGTTCTACGTACACTTGAATGGTGATTTGATTAAGCGTGTGAAATTTATGCAGTCATAGGCAAATAGTGACCTTTAAATAATAAATTTTTAGTATTACCATCAAATCCTTTTAATTCCATTTCATAAATGTCTTTCTCCATCTACAATAATTCTTCATTTGTAAAATAGCCTACATATGCATGTGCTCCAACTTAATATTCTGGGAACATTGGTAAAAATGATTTGAAATTGCATGGACAATTGTTGGGCTCAAAAAAGAAATCCAATCTAATTTTATGTAGATTTTAATTTAATACCTATCTACCAATCTATCTCCTAATTTAACCTTGGTTACTTTAGTAATTAAGTCAAATGCAAAACTATCTCTAGTTGTTATACAATATAATGGTTATTTAAGAAAACTTAATTCCTTCATTTTAAGGATGTCTAGAGATATGGGCTAGTATTTCTTGCTTAATTTATATGTTTATAGATTTGTAAAGTTTTCTGGGGTGAATTTTGATGTCCAATTAATTGACTTTTTGTTCTACTTTATCTAAACATTATCAGTTGGAATTTCATAGATTTTATTGCTTCTTCTTATAATATAATCTTAGCCCTTTTCATTAGCTTTAAATCTCTTATTCATCATTTTAATCAAGTATGAACTTGTAACATGATGTTCAACTCTCTTTATGAAAGCATTGAGTAAATCTTTATTGTGATCATTGGCTGATTTCCATTTCTCCTCTGCCACATACATCTCCATCCTTATACTGCATGTGTTAATATTATGATTTCCATCTTCTTTTATGAGATAATTTATCAATTAATCACTGGCTCCACCATCTTTTCTTACATCTGTTGATGATAAGATCTTTGCCCTCTTCTTCTTTTTTGTTTGTTTCTCATTATTTGAATTTTGCTATTCAGTTTATGGACCTTGGGTTTAAGAACGGGCCTCTAAAACATAATTTTCTTATTGTTAGATAATATTAGTAAATTCTTAGAATAGACTTTAGGGAGTTGAATTGCTATTGATTGGCACTTTTGGAACTGATATAACAAATTTAGTTTAGATGTCCTCCCTTTGTGTTTCTGTACAGACAGAAGAGTTGTCGTTTCCTTCATTCCACAATCCAACACTTTTCAAAAATGCCTTTCTGCCAGATACACTTTTTTTGAAAAGTAAACAGATTGAAATCTCTGATTCACAAATAAAGTCCACTAATTATTACTTGATATCTTCCTATTCATTCAATTAAATTGGTCTTAACAATTAGTTTCTATTAATTATATTATATTTTGTACTCGTCATAGTTATAATGAATCACTAAACATAAGGCATCTTAAAATAGCATCCATAAATTCAAGAATTTTCTAGCCATCATGACTCTTTCTCTTGAAATCTTATTTCTAAGGTGTGGAAATAGTAGGTATTCTCTCAAGGCACTTTCATCCGAGGAATTGAAAAGTGTAAACACAATCAGGTTCTTTCCGTTTAAAAGATTCTAAAATAGGTTATCAAAGGCTTCATCATATCCAGCTATTGGTTAACAGCCTGATGAACATTAATAAACCAGTGGAGGAAGTCTTAATAAAATTCAATCAGTACTTTTTAAAAATGTGACTAACATCCTTCTGTTCACTTTCACTCTTCTTAACATATGAAACTCCACATGTTCTTTTCAAATTCAAATTGGCTTGTGATTGTTTTTGTCTAATGAAGTGTTATTTCTTGGTGTAATCTTCTGGGTCCTTATGTCTGTTTTAGATCTCCACTGGAGCGTAACCAGATTGATAATTGAGTTTGTAGCCTCCTTATTTGAAGTGTTTGTCTCTTTCCTTGTAATCCATGCAGTTTGGTATGGATTAAAACAACTACTCTAGGGTTGGTTTCCCTTTCAAATTTAATTTTTCCAAAGTGTAAGCAGCAGGTCTGGATGGAACATCGATTAATATCTTTTAGTTGGTATTGGTGACCACTTCGAGCTTTTCGAAGGTTTCGTTGTGTCTGACAGCTTATTCTGGAAAAGGGGACTTAAAAAGACTCTCAAAATCCAAAGTAGGTGGAACAACCTATTCTGAAGCGATCCAAAAGGTTGGGTTGACATTAAAATTGTTGACTATGCGTTTCTTAACGATAGTTTCTTCATCTGATGATTTTGTTGGATAGACAATTTCGATGAAGGTTCCCTTTTTCTATAACTTAAGCTTAAGGCAATCTATATAAGTTAAGAATAGACATTAATATATATGGGATTTGGCAAGTGGTTTGTGTTAGGGGGTGTGTCTAGATTAAAGTAATTGTAATTGAAAAGCAATTAATAAATTAATTATTTGTAATTCAGACACACTCCTATCGCAAACCTGAAAATGATGATGTTGTACCTCTTTTATTCATGTGTCTCATTTGCATAATTAAAAAATTGTTATACTCAGGGTCATTGATGTTGGTCCCTTTTTTAGCAGTATATTTGTAAGAATACCCCCCTTATTGTTAAAAAAGATTTGAGTCTTATATTTAATTAATATATAAAATAATCATAATTTCTAGATGAGACGAAGTATGTCTGCTGAAAACTTATCTCTTACGTCAAAGTGTGTGTATCCACTTTATTAAAACTAAAGTTATTAACAATAGAATTACTGATTCGTCACTTCCAGGTACAATACAAGTGTTTTTTTGGTTCACAATTCAGTTGTATTTGATGATATCGTCATTTGGAGACCAGAAAGAGTACACTTTGCCACCTTCTCTATGAGTTTTTGAGTTCAAGGAAGTCAGCATTTGGGATGAAGGTGAAAATCCATTGTATGTGCTGCATGTGGGTAATCCAGTTGCATAAGTGCAATCAACTAAGCCATAGTTAGCACCTGCGAGTCCGAAGAAGGCAGCAATGGAACTGGTGATGGGACTTCCAACAGTAAATTTGTTAAGCAACGATTCAGAATAGGTTCCACCTATGATAGCAGCTCTTGCTAAGGTGACTCCCATTGAATGACCAATGACTATAACTTTGCTGGCTTTGGTATAAGCAAGGACTCCTTCGATGAAACGTCTAACCGTCATCACATATTTTTCACTATGACTGTTTTGTGATGCCAAATTTGGATTGGCAGGACCTACAAATTTATTATTATAAAAATTACCCCAAGTTGTTACGTATAAATCAGCCTTTGTATATCCTCCGTTATTTTATAAATATTCAATAAGTTATGTGAATCCTGTCTACCATCCTACAGTTCCACCATTTCCAGCTCCAATATCAGAGTTTCCATGAATAAAAACTATAGGATATTTGGATGGAGCAGTGGTTGGTCTAGTTTCGGCACCTCTAGTTGGAATAATAGATTCATTGCTTACCCATATGTGGACCAAGTGATGTCGGATCTAATGAAATCATATTTTGAATCAAAAGATTTTATAAAGGATGCAAAATCAGCAGTGAACCCGTGATCTATAGAGCTAACGTTGCTATCATAGTTCATGTAGGCTGTGGCTCCCAAAACCATCAAAACTCCCAAGGAAAGCAAAAGTGTTTGTGATGTCATTGAATTCAAATAAATATCTAATTGCAGACCGGATGTGTTATTAATTTGCGAACAAAGATGTTCCGTCATTAATAATTGCGTAATTCATTATACTTTTGCCAATCACATTTATTATAAAATATTATTATAAAAAAAAATCATAAATGTTATCCTAATTCTTTAAACATTTGAGCCATATCTGCCAATTGATTTTTTTTCGTCATCGCTACTCTAGGAGGTTAACTATCCTCTAAACTGAACAATTATTTCTCAGCCAACTCTTTTTTGATATACATCAGATAAGTTGATCTGCTCATATCTGAAAATTTCGGTGTAAATTTCAAAAACGTTTTCTCATCATCATCTATATATTACTTCTATCCTCCCTTCTATTTGAACAACATCTTACTAAGTTCCTTATTCTCAATATCCATTTTCCTTTCCACTCCATCTATTATCATACCAATCACTTGATGAGATTTCTTTTGTTGCTTTTCAACTTGATCTCTTATCTATTTCTAGACTTTTTGTTGTTTCTCCTATTACAATATCAAATCTGTCCCTTAAGCCTCCAGATGCGTAACAGATTGACTCACCTATGAGCTTTTTTAAGTTTCAGGAGCCTTCTTTAAAATTGATTTAGGCATTGAACTTGATTTTTATTGTGGTAGATTTTGGGTTGATTATGCCTTTACATCATCTAACAAAAGTAGAGAATTTCTACCCTAAGAGGGCTAAAGAGAAGTTTAATGATTTAGAGGTTTTTTATCAATTTCTTATACCAGAATTCTAACATTTTTTCTATGTCGAGTAGACTGTTGTTGTTATTACTATACATTCTGATTCTCATGAACTTCCACTAAAGTTTCCTTCTCAAAAGCTGACTTTAATTTTTATATCCTTTCCTTTTCCTTTTATTCTCTATGTAAATTAGCAAAAAACTTAGATAAACCCAAAGCTTCCCGATGTTTATAAATAAAATCCTTTAGTTTCTTCTTTTTACTTTTCTCCAATACCTTTCTCAAATATATAGTCTCCTCCTCATCCTTCAAATCAATATTCACATTAGTTTATACTATCTTTTTGCCTGCTACCATTTTATCAATCTTCTTTCTTTTTAATTCCTTTAAATCTTTCTCTGCTGTTATTTTACCATCTATAATATGTGCTTAATCCCTAACCTTTGTATCTATTTCCACTTTTACTGGTGGTGAATTAAATTACACCTAATAAAACATGATCTCCTCCTTCGCTTTCAAATTGAGCATTTTTCTACCAAAATTAAACTCCTTCTTATCAAAGTCCTCCTTCTTTCTTAAACTAAATAGTTATCCTAGAATGTCATTGTAATCCTGGAACTCATTCGTTTCAATCTTCCCAGTAACCATCTTATTAACATAAACATCCAAATCTTATTTATGATGCTCATCCCTATCTGGATGTTCTCTGTATTCTATATTTTCTAATTGTCTTTTTAATTATGTCCCCACATTGCTTAAGCTCTTCTCTTCCTACTTTTTTGGCTTCGAAAATTCATTGAAATATTAGTTAGTAGTTAGAATTTTAGACTTATGATCTAAGGGTCTTTCAAAGCCTATTTTAATCAACCCAACTGATTTTCCCAATTTTCTATTTAGTTTCAATAGTTTTCTGTTATTAGTTATAGGTTTCTTAGCAACTGATTGCGTTCTTTTCTTTTCAAAGATGTCATTATCAAATTATAAATTGTCTATTGAAGGAGCAAAAAAACTCCCATCAAAAAAGCTATCTTAGCTATTTGAATCACTATCGAATATATTGATTGAAGCGTCTGTTCCATGGGGCTATGATTGCTCAATAACTTTCTAATCAAATTATTTATTTATTTTCTGCTCTTATTTGACTTGTGTTTTCAAATATAACTATTTATTTAAAGGTTTAATTTGAAAAAGATGATACATATCGTTATTAAATTTCTTAAGGTATTAAGATTCTGATTATTCCTTTTAATCTCTATGCTTTTTCTTGACTTTATTTAACTCTGAATCAAGTGTTGACTCGGCTATGAAACTCAAATCAGCCAAATCCTTGAGATTTTATTCAACTCTATGCTTCCCTTCACTTGCCAATTTTATAATATGTTTCTTGAACTCATCTATCCCTTGGATATATTTTTCAGCTAACCAACTAGCCGTTGTTAATGACTCTACAATCCTATGATAATTATTCTAAGCTTCGTAATTACACATCATAGTAACCAAGGCAGATAAAGTTGTAATAACGCATCTTTTCATCCTTTTTCTTTCTCTGTTTTTGTACTTTCTTTATGTAAATTTCTCTTAATTTATTCTAATTCTCATTTCTCCACATAAAATTACTATTGCTTCTTCAGCCACTTTTAATGATTCTTCATATTCACTTATTTCATAATAATAATTTGCTAAATACACCTTTGCTTTGGCACATGCATTCACTAGATTTGGATTTGGAGTGTCAAGCATTTATTTTGCTATTCTCTGAGCTTCCAACAAATAATAATATGCGACTTTAGGCTTATTAGCTTTTTTAAACACCAAATTTGAGATGAGTAGCAATTCAATTAAATTGTAGAAGTATTAATCCAATTCAAATTAAATATTCAATGGTTTTAATGTTTTGACAATCATATTTGCTATACGACTGGACTCTGATATCTCTTAATCGTAAATATTGACTTCTTTTGCCTACTTTTTGGTTCTCTCTTTTTTAGGCTTTTCGTATTCGTTAATCTTGTAGAATAGAACAGTAACTTCATGTTCCTTGATTTTTTCTTAAGCTTCCTCATCTGAACTTGTTAAATGAGATACATCTTCTAAACTAAAAATTGAATTCATTTAATTACACAACTCCTTTCATTTCATTTGGCATAACTTTCTATAAGTAGAGATTCAAGTATTTGTATAAATTGAATATTGCTTGAGTTCCTCTTTGAGTAATCAAGATCATAACTTCAGGTCTATCTTGTTCTATGTCAGGTTTCAACAATCCTTTTTTTAAGATTTTATTTATGCAATTAATAATCCTACGATTCAACATGACCATCTCACTCAATTCCAAATCTTTACGTTGACTAGCAAACTTATCCAAAAGTTGAAATGCTTTCTTATATAGTTTCTAATTGATTTAATAAATCAAGATACTTTTTATATCATTTTTCCGGTTTCCCTGTGAATGTAATCATAGCTACCCTACAATAGACTTTTTAATTTACTCTCTTCTTTGTTTTAATGAGATTATTATTATTAGTGAGATGTATTGACAGAAGAAGTTTCTTTTTAATTCATAAAATTAATGTTAAAATGACTTTTGATTTTTATTTACTATATTTCCAAAGCTGAATATATTTTTGTAAGCCACACAAAGATGAAAAATATATATTTTGACCTATTTTCTGAATCCCAAATATATTATTGATTGATCGATATTAAATATATATAAAACATAAGGATTCATTATTGTTTACTCTCTATCACCGTTGTAATGTCTGACTCAATACTTTTATATTAATCAGCCAACAATTAAGGCAACTGTCCTATGTCCTTTAAAGAATTCATAAAATAGTCCAACTCTTCTTTGATCCTCGTAAATCCAATTCTAAGAAGTTCAACAATATTCTTACTTAGATGTTATATTTAGCTACTTGAATATCTTTACAAATTCTGAATTGAGGATCGATACAATATGTCCAAACACTTTGCAAAGATCCTCCTTTGTGATAATATCCTCAATGGCGACATATAGAGACCGAGTATTCTAACAGATTTGATTAGTCATCTTAGTGGGAACAGTAATTTTTGTTTAAGAATCCTAAAAGCTTACATTTGAATATTACATTCCAATCTAATTTGGCAATGTCTTCGAAATGCTTATAAAATCTATCCTAAACTATGGTGGTGAGTTTGGCCATTACTTCAGCATTATGATTTTCATAGTCCACTTTGATTGTGGCAAAGTCATTCTGGATTTATTGTAGGTTAGTAAATTCTGTTTGTTACTATTGACTAATAAATAAATATGATATGCTTACTTAATTACTTTGAACAATTTATTTGATAAGGGATCTAATAAGTATAGGAAAAGTCTCAAACATATTGATGATATTGCTAAATTCTTAGCTGTAATTGTCGATATTTTACCAAAATGAACCGCTCCTGCCCCCAAAATATATTAGGTGGCTAAAGAATTATAAGATTTTATTAATTCTACCAACTTTTAAGCTTATTCATAATTGATAACTGAGTATGACTCAAATAAATGCAAATATTGACTTATAGCTTATAAAAAGAATAAGAATGCTTGCGTTACTTTATATTTGGAATTGTCCTTTAAGATGATAATTTCAGTTTTAATTATTTTGAAATGTGAATTATTCACATAGGAAGGCAATAGGTTCTTCCCAGCCATTGTACTATTATTAAGAAGAACACTCTCATCTAACTATTCAACTTATTTCAAGTCTTCTAGATCCAACAAATAAGTAATTATTTCGTAATTGTCAAAGGATACATCTGATGCCAACCAAGTTTCATTCTCTAGATATTTATTCAATTGTGTTTTCTTCTCTTTATGAAAATTTTAGAGATATTGCTTTTCCTAAGCACTTCTCATATAAATTAATTGATTGATAGAACATTTCTAATATTATCCTCTAATTTTTTACATTATTTTATCATTGATTTGTAAATCATCATTAATTCTAGACATTTCCTATAACAAAAATTAATCCCAAAACTTATATATTTAAAGTAGATCGATAAAATCCTTAACTGAAGATTCAGATGCAACCCTCTTAGATGACAACAGTAAGGCGACCTTTTCATTAGCAAATTTGAGCATAGCAACAGGAATAGAAAAGTGCTCATCGATTATTTCCATGTGTTTGGGTTGATCCAATACATTTTTGGCAATAGATTGTGCAAGTGCAATTTAGAGATTAATTGTCTTTTTTAAATTTTCAGAAAAGAATTAAACAATTTTGATAAAAATACTTAAAGGTTGTTCTTCCATGTATTAAGATAGTTATTCCATCATAGATTACTCATCGAATTTACTTTATTATTAGGATTCCTCTTAATTGAAGAAATTCTTTAATGCAATAAGAAACTCCTAGTAATATCCTTGTAATTCCTCCAGAACCTTTTATTTAAATATTTTATCACCCATATCAATGATACCTGAGGAAGATAAAAGAGTTTTGATAAAGCTATCATCAGATTGTTTATTTATGGATATGATTTATTACTGTTATTATTCAAACCAACTATCATTTACATAAGAATTGGCGAGCACAGAATCATCATGATCATTCAATTAATGATTTAATTAATTAATGAGTTATTTGTTTGGTGTTAATAATGATGTCATTTGAGTAAGCATTATTGATAGAAGATGATTCAAAATTGTTGTGTATAGATTCTTTTGTAGAAGTTCCAACTTTTAAGGTATGAACTTTAAACTTGTTATTGATTTAATAGTTTAATATGTCTATTCACTTACTTTAAGCAATTATACTGCTTAGGAATATTTCTTAGTATTGATAAGTTCTGTTAATGTAATGAAACTCTTTTAAATCGACTAAATACGTTTAAGAGTGAATAAAATGTTTTCAACTTTTTCAATTGTCTAAACTCAATAAGAATTAATACTTGTTTCTTCTTTGTGATTTCAGTACTTTTTTTTATCATGTGCTCTCTAGTTACACTATAAATCTCACGTATTCGCTTGACTTTTTTAATATTCTGATCTATGATTTAATTCATCTCATTCAAATTTAATATTACACTAAGAAACTTATCAAAGCGAGAATTAATTTAGAAGAATAGGGTAATCTCTACATCATCTAAATGATCCTTGATCTCCTCTAAATACAGATTAATTTTATCCTTGCCCAATGAGAATAGTTGATAATTGAATCGGAACGGCTAATCAAAAAAATATGCAGGCACTGTATTGTAACACCCTAAAACCATTTCATCTAAATCATCAGGAATATCTGGAGTTTGCACTTGTTTTTGAAATTTTCTATACTCGATATAAACATCCTTTATAGATTGCAAGTAGCCAACAAAATCCTTGAATCCCAATTCTTTAATTTGCTACAAGTCTGACGATCGAGAAGCTGTGTTCACTATTGCTTGAGCTTCCTTCAATGATATTTAATGTTAGGGTTCTTGGGTTTTTCTGAGTACTCTCTTGAGCAATTGATCGAAATAGCCTTCCTCTATTACAGAAAAGACCAAATGTTATTCTTACTTGTTTTCCTCACTAATTATTCCATGAAGAATACCTCATTTCGATTGCTTAAATTAATCAATTTATATATTATAATATATCACTTAATTCAGATTATTTTAGTATTTCCTATAATTAAGGATCATTTCGATACTTCTTCACAGCTTTAAGCAATTTGAGTCTAAATTATATATCAAATTTACTTATTCGAATTATCGATATGATAAGACTTGGAATTGATAATATCTGTATTTTCAGAATGTTCCAATAACTATCTTTGCAATTATATATTCGACTCATTCTTGAAACTAAAAAAACAACTTGTATCCTTGACATCATCAAGTAAATTAAAGGGAGACTACTAGAGTTATTTAACTAATTGTTGATGTTCAATTTTTGAGGCAAATTTTATATTTAATTTCTGTTAAGGTTTTTTCATTTAATTGAAATAATTAGCCAGATTATCACAATATGGAGGATCTAGAGAGTAAATATCATTCTCACTCCACTTGCTGACCATCTAATTGATAATTTTATTTTTCAACTTAATGTTATCATCTATACATTTATAAGTTTTAGCAAATGTAATATAAACAATACTTAGTGTTCTACTCCAACTGCTTAATACTCTAACTGCTGGGTAATTAGTCATATATTCAACTGGTTTCTATTGGTATTATAGGCAAGAATTAGTCCCCCACCAATAAACCTTTTTTGTGTCCAAGATTACAATCGACTATTTATGACCAGCCATCACTTAAAGAACCTTTGATTCAAATGGCAACATCTTTGGAAAGGCTTCATCCTTTAGGTTCCCGTGTCCTAATTATCCCATTTGACCCCAGCCCCATGTGTAAACCTTCCCTAAAGTGGACTTGGCTATTGTGTGCTTCATTCCACAATGTACTTCTGCAATTTTATCAGATAACTCTATTAAGGTTAATTCATTTTTCGAATGACCTCTATTTATTCCTAATTCTCCCACTGTATTTTCCCCCATTGAGAACATCATTCCATTAGTAGATAATACAATAAAGAATTATAAACCATGTGAAATTTGATGGACTTGAATCTTTTATTATATCTAACTCATTCTGATGAATGTTGTCCATGATTTCAATTCAACTGGCTTTTTTTATTTCTTTTTCCATATATAAATTAAATTGTTCTCATCAACAGCCACATTATCATCATTGTATACTGAAAATAACTTGATATTCTTTAAAATACACTGTTTTTCGTCTGTTGAATATAAAGCATTGTCTTAACTTAAAATCAATCCATGATTGGCTCCAGATTTAATTGATTTAACTTTGAATTAAAATTGTATTTAATTAATCTTATTTGCATTCTATTTAAGCAATCCCTGCTATAATTAATCATTCAATCCCCAAGAATAGATTTTATTTTGCAACGTACCTACATATGCATGACATTCTCCTATAGAATATGTAGAAGTGTAATTCTACTTTTCGTAGCATTCTTTAAAGCATCTTTTATATAAGGATGTCCACAAAGTATCATATATTTCACTTACATCTGTCAATATTTCTAAATCTATTACTTAACTAAATAAATCAATCTTTTTTCCAGGAGTATTTTCCTATTCCGCTTCCAAAACAGATTCAATATAGCTATCATGCAAATTCATGAATTCTTATTCTCTTATCCTGTTCAATTCATTTTCCAAAGGTTTCAGAATCTAGTCTTCATACTTTTTTTACTTTCTGTATTAATTAAAATACTTCCTCACTCCTCTTTAAATTACTATGGTAGCATATCTGATTCTCTGAAATAGATCAGATAACCATTTGCTTCTAATCCATCCCTAAATGTAGGCAGTGGCTGCTTTTAATGATAAATAATATCTCGTTTATTAATTTCTTCTGACATATTTTTAGATTATAATAGCAGCTTAATTGGCTGTAACTAAAAACCCTGCCAATTTAATTGATTAAATATTATCTTCATTATTTTTGCGTGTAATGTATCCCTTCCAAATTTTCTGAATTTTAGTTGCAGCTCTATAAACAATAACTTTCCAAGCTTAATCTGTCACTTTAATTAACAATTTTTTAATGTCATTTTCAACTTATTACTCTTAATACTATTATTTTTATCTTAAAAACCTCTATATTTTTATTACACATTGTTCTTCAACGATCATTTATTTAATAGCGCATAATCTCTTAAAATAGGTTTGGACTACTTTTGATGCTTATAGATATCTTTTATAACTTATCCTTTTTAAGAATTGTTTTATTTTGAATTAGATAAAAACAATAGACTGCATATATCTAATGTGTCTTTACCTTGCTAAATATCCTCTAATATGAGATTAAATATAAATAACTCTGCATTGAAATTCTCTAAAGATCATTTTGTTTTTATAGCAAATCCATGCATTCTATAATTTTGATGCAGCCTTTTACTTTAAACTATTCTGTTTATTTATCTCTTATTAAATAATCCTATATGATTGATATTTAAAGAAAACCATTCGACTACCAAATAAGATCTAATCATCGGTAAATGCAAAGTTTCTCTTAATGTAGTTAATAACCACTGTCTTCTAATCTACTTTTTTCTATTAATTCACTCCAAAGTACTCTATGTAACATTACTAATAAGTTCTTCTGAATGCATAGTTCTCCTTCCTCATCTACAAGCATTCCACTATACAAGAATATTTAATCTAATTTAACACTAATTATTGATTAAATTAATCATGTATTAATGAATCATTTGGCTTTATGCATTTTATGAAATAGTTATTGCAATCTTTTAGAGACCCAATTATATTTTATAATTCTGTCCTTGCCACTGTTCCTACATACTTTTACGTTATGATTTGCTAATATATTGTTGATATATATTAGATCTTTGATTTTTAAAGCAGAATTTAAAACTACTTATTCACCTCATCTTTATTTTTAATTCTAAAACCAATCACATTATATTCCACTTCTCTTATAAAATGACGAATCTTAAATATTGGTTAAGATTAAGATTTTGAATATGTGATAATCTGATTGTGCACATAAGCATTCTTAACTTTAGTTAAAAAGGTTTCATCAGTTCCTGCCACTGCGCAACTATCATCTAAAATATTCAAAATTCCCAAAGGAGCTCTTTCTAAACTCTCTAAAATGTGTATATTATTTATATAATTTATTGGGGCTTGATTGCTAGTCAAACCTTCCTATTGGAACACTTTATTGTCTGCTTGAAATGTATCAAACAAATAAAATTGGTGTATCTTTTCTTAAGAATAATTGATTATCAATTACTCGAAGCTATTAAAACTATTTTATTCGAATCCAAAATAATCAAGGATGTTTATATGATACTTATTTGCTTATGTGGCCATTTAAAAATTAATGGAATCAACCAAGAATTCGAATAATCTTTCATATAATTGTTTAATGACATTCTATTGTTAATTTATACATTCTATCCTACTTAAAGGAGTATCAATAACTTCATTTTTAGACATTTATCTCTATTTGTAACATAAGCATCTAACTAATTCTTTATCTGAAATCCCTAGTAAATGACTTATCTGCAAAATCGATTTCTAATCTTGAATAGTACAATTATTATCATGATCTTCAAATTAAATGTTACCTAATTTAATTATTGAAGCCAATATTCCTAAAACTACATCTATGTTGATATTAAATAGCTTGAGAGCATCAAGAGTATCTTGGAATTGTTAAGCTTCTTTTTAAGACAATTACTAAGGTTACTTAGAATTCAAAGGATTTGGTATTAAGGTTTATGGTTGATTTGTATTGATATTAAATATTGACAATTATCCATAATTCAAGAATTAATAAAATATGTTGAAATTGCTTTCTCCTTGTGGCACGTTGTAGATGCGTGATTTTTCAAGGGAAACAGCAGTTATATGAACACCACATAACTTTTATTCTTTATCGAAAAGCATTTTAGTAAATCTCCCATAGCGAGATGAATTGAAATTTCTCTGAGTTTTTGCATTTCCAAAGGCTTCTATAATTTAATTGCAAGCCAATAATTTAGTGTGGAGATTTCCAAATTTTGATAGTTACAATTAAATTTGTTTACTGATCTCAGATTTACCTGATCCGGATTCACCAGTCATAATAATTGATTAAGGTAGATCAATCATTTGATGGAAAGCATTAAGTGTAGCTTGTTAAAGTAGTTAAGATTTAAAGTTTTCCTTCTGAATAGGATTGATACTGAGAAAAGATGATCCACAAAAAATTTGAAATTTTTTTTGTTAAAACCTTATGTGTAGTGCATTAAGAACTTCAGCTTCATTCAAAATTGATAGATCAATCAAATCTTCAAGTTCTTGTAAATTGTCCAAACTTCTTTGATATACATTTTTGGAATCTGCTATACTACCTTCTGCAGTTTTAATCAAAAAAGGGGACACTTAAAGAACAACTCCAGGAATAAGTTTTTAGTCATTGAATATCCAACAGGGAGTATCTAGCTTAAATTTTATATTAGATTACTAATCTAGGCCCATTTAATTGGTTAGAGCATTTAGTTGTTATATAATTTAAATATAATAGTTAAATATAATTTAAAATTGGTGTCTGAATAAAGATAAAATTGTTGTAGAACACACATGAAATTCGATGTATTACAAACATTGGACTAGAATATGAAATATGAAGAATATATGATAATAATTATGTATTATGTATACTCAATGGCAATCTTCTTTAATCAATCAGTATCTCCCATTTTAAGGTACTAATATCATTTAAAAGTATTGGAATGCCAAATACTTGTTAAAGATACCATCAAGGTAATGAATATTGTTCTCAGCTTCAGGTATATCTTGGAGCTTGAGCAGTTGTAGATGGTGAATGACTTTATCTGATTTAGTCATCTTGGAGGCGTTCTTAAAATGAAGTATACATAAACCTCTATCGTTTGTAAACCACCCTTTGATTTTTTTGAAGGTGCTTGCTATGCAATTGATTAATACTCAACACATTAAAATTATAAATAATGAAATTTACAAGTACTGACAACATTGAAGTGGATAGACAAGACTAATAGAAAATCAACTCTTTTAGTAGATTTAATTTGCAATATCATGAACTTATTCGATTGAATTAGGCGTATAGAATGATAAAAATAGGGCAGTCGAAAAGATGAGTTAACTCGTTTGTCAGATGGTAAAGATGAAATGGAATTAATGGAAGATGATGAGAAGATTCCATACAAATTTGGTGATTCATTTGTTAGAGTGAGTGTTGAAAAAGTAAGGACTTCTCTATATAAATATAGGCAAGAACATTAATTGATGAGTAAGTAGTATAAATCAAGAAATAATTTGAGGAGGATACTAAGAAAATTGAGGAGACACTTAAATAGATGAATAACCTAAAAGCTAAGTTATATGCCAAATTCGGTAGTCAAATTAATTTGGATGATGAATGAGCATCTAATAACATATATAAATTTAAATTATTCAAATGTAAAATAATACTCCTTTTTTAACTAATTCCTCAACAGGAATGAAGGGATCCTTATCATTTCTTTAGTATCTGGACCCAATAAATTCACATAAACAATGCGCATATCTAACAGGAGCAGGTATCTTTATTGGACCAGCAAAGTTATAATACAACCAACATAATTTATAAGTAAGAACCTTGATATCATCTTCGATATTAGGTAAATCTGAATGTAATATCTTGTAAAGAGTAGGCTATGAAGTTCCTTATCTGGTAATCTAAGAGATCAAATAAAAGTTCGGTTATTGTCCTTCACAAATCTCCTTGCTATCTACAATTGTTCCAGATGCAGGATTATCAGGTCTATGTCCAGCTTGATAGAACTTTCCTGCTACTCTTTTATTGCAGACAACAAGTATTAATTTAGTTTAAGGATTTATCTATTTGATTGCCTAATCATATTGAGGAAATTCATCTCCAAGAACCACAGGGATTTGTCCATCTGAGACACCATCCCTGTAAATAATTACTATTTGTGGAAAAGCAGTATTTTTTTCTTTGTAAACTTACATGGCAGCGATTAAACACTTCTTTAAATTGTCTCCTTTGTAATCAGCCCCTTTTAATATTTGACTATGATATTTGGTCATATTTTTATCAACTGTGGAACAAAAGGCCAAATGTTTAATTTGATGTATTCTATCGTAACATTCAGCTGCGCATATCATTGTATGCTATTATTAAAATAGTTTAGGTAATTTATCAATTGCCCATGGAACTCCTCCTAATTTGGCACAAATTTAAACCATTATTTTATTAACTATAGAACGAGTGTTTTTAGTTAAAGTGTCTTCTAAGACAACCTAACTTGGACAAGCAATCTTTTATAAGGATATAAATTTGGCACATCTATATAGACGACTATTCTTCTTCTACCCTGGCAATAAAAAGATTATGAATTCTATGTTTTGCTATTTTTATTCACATTCCTACTTTATTTCATCGCATAATTGTATTAATGCCTTTTCTCTCTCTTCCTATAGTTATTTGATCATTGGCTAAGAGTAAAACCCATAAAATTAATATTCAGATATGGCTAGTTTGATATTTTCTAACAGCAGTTTTTTTGCTTCCTGTCCTTTTTCTTTGTAATGGTGGATAAGCACCCATACTAACTTTTTATCTGGCATTTGATACATCTTCTTTTGAGTCTGCTAATCTAAGTTCAGATTTTATGAGGACAAATCAATATGATCATTACCCATCATTAATGTTCCTGGAAGAACTGTTTTAGCTTCAACATTCATAGATACATTATTCAATTTCAAACCCCATGTATCTAATAGATTGGCATCGGTCCCTTTCTTGACAGTCGAATTTATTTATTTAGCAAATTTCTCTGATAAATCAATTCTGTCATATGCATTTGGCTTTGTTATTTTGGCTACTTCCCTCATCACTGAGAAATTCTATATTAGATAATGATTAATACATTCTTAACAGTATCATTCAAACCAGTCAATTAACACAATTCTGGAATCAGATAGATAACCTTCTCTTCTTATTTACCTTTGATTTTCAACATAGTTTTAATTAAGGGCTGTTTATCTGTTAATTTTATATTATATCTCTGTTTATAGTACTCTTTGAAAGTCGTTTCTTATCCATTCTCTGTGATAAATAGATCTTTAGGAGACATTCCAGTTTCAATGAGATCAACCTTATAAAATTTCTAATTGTATTTGGTCATCACTATCATTCCATCGTAACGATCCACTTCCTTTGTAATCAATAGATCATCAAGCAAAGTATTTTATCTCAATATTTTATACGCACAATCAATTACAACTCCGAATTGCTTTTGCACTATTTGCACTCCTTCCCAAATCTCAAATTTATGTTCATGAAACGAATGAGACTTTTTTGGCCAAAATAATTTGTCTCTGCCAATCTGCACCATCCCTTATTGTGTGCTAATGATTTGCTTTACAATTTTTGCTAATATTTATTGGAGCTTAGTTCCATTATCAATAGATTCAATATACTTTAATGTTACTACATTTTAAACTTCATTGCCTTCATTCAACCCTCCTAATACTTACGTTGCAATTTTGACAGGAGAATAAATATTGAAATTTATGCAATAAAATGTAATCAAACTTTCTGTCAATTTTTATCTATAGGTTGTGATTGCATTTTGAGCATTAATGTCAGAATAATTAGTTAATTCAATTTTATATCTATTGATTTAACGATTGGGTAATAATTGAAACTGATGAAAGTTAGATTTCACTTTCACAGTCTTGAATTATTTATCCTGCTAATGCATTTATATTAAATTTTATTTATTGTTATTTGAATTTGAGTATTTCTATCTTCAAAATTAGATAAAATGAAAAAATATCTTTGTATTACACATTCTACATGTGAGTGTGCTTTCAATTAGAGACTACTATTGTTTACACTCCATTGAATTTTAGAATGAAAATATAGGTTTTAATAAAATATATAAATTCAAAAAGTAGAACAAAAATAAAATTAATTCACCCACTCACAAGACTTAATAGATACTCATCAAATGTTTTTGTATTATTTATTGCTTTGTCAATCATATCCTTCAATTGCTATGACTTTTGTTGTGTAGATTGTTGTTTCATACTGAAACTCCTGCATTTCGGCAAAGCTGTGGCCTGCTCATTAGAAGAGTCCATTGATTAGAAAAACGTACTGTTCCCTTACTGTTTTCGATATGAATACTCCCATTCTCTGTTCACAACCTTATAACAATAATTAAAATTACCTATTTACGCTTGGTTTAAGTGGGAGATGTTATTTCTTGAAGCACATCCATCAATTGATTCTTGGAGATTCTTGAGATTTTGTTGTTGCTTCTCATTTTGGAATTAAGATGAAATGAATTAGTTTTTTTGAGCACTACATCAATAATTGGTTATTGTATGTTCTCTTTGGCTTGATCACAACTTTAATAAAATGTGCTGAGATTGCTGATTTCTGATTGCTGAGACTGCATCTTCGCATCTGTTTAACTCAAAGTCAAGGATGTGTCAACACTCCCCCTTGTCTGTAATAAATGCTAAACTTTAACAAACATTGTGCGAGGCTAGTATCTGATGACTGGAGGTTCAATTTTTTTTAAACAAATGTACTTTGGAGTGCGGAATTCGATCATTCCGTTATTATTATATTTTAATATGAAAACTATTTTTACAGAAATGGATTCTAAATCAGACTAGCAACTAGTGAAGGAAATCAATTATCTTTCTCTGCGCCTACACTTCGAATCCCCTCGCACTCAACAAGCCATGAAAGAACTCAATCTAACAAAACAACAATGTCAACTCAAGTAAACAAATGTGTAAATTATCATACAAGAAATCTCTCGGAATTTCTGCAATATCCCAATGAAGTCGATGTCATGTATTTGAATCATTTACAACTTTTGAAAGGTAATTCAATTTGTCCTCTACTCATATCTTAGATAATCTCTCAAATCTAGTCAATCGAAGAAGGGATATTATTGGCCCTTCAATCAAAATAGTATTCACCACTCCAAAACAATCGAAGCAGTTCAATTTTCTCAAACGAATCTTTGATCATGACCTAAAGCAGTTATATCAATCAGAAATGCTTATTAAATAATAATAATAAAGAACCACCGACAAAAGCTTTAAATCTGTCGAGGACAATCTGAAATCCATCTCTAAAAAAGCCAAGGCTCATAACACAACTGTTGAAAGGAAACTCTCTCTCTTAAAGTAAACTAGAGAAGATGAATTGGATGATAGATTAAATAAGAGTCTCGATTTCGATTCCAAATTTGAACCAATCCAAAAATCATTACAAGAATCGAAAACTAAATTCAAAGTCATGATGTCCTCAAAAACTCAATAAATATAGGATTATCATCTAGAAAAAAAGAAGAACATTTGTGATCAAGAGGAATTGCGGAGAACTAATCTATAATTCAATACAATGGAAAAGTCTTAAAGAAGTACACACTTTAAATAAGGCATTTCTAGTCAAGATCGCATTGAATTAGTATAAAAATAAGAATTAGAACAACAGCAGAATGTAATCAACAAAATCGTTAAATCAATCCAAAGGACTTCCACATAGACTCAATAGAATTAATCGATTATGCAAAATACCATCCAGAAAATGAAAGAAGAATAAGATAAAAAGATAACTAAGGTTCAATAAAATCTTACTTCAAAATCTCTATTCTAATCCGAACGAGAAAATGCGACGACCTAAGATATTAAAGAGAAACTTATATCAAGCAATACAAAAGCGAAACAACGCTTATTGGATATCCAATCCAAGCTAAAAAATTTAAGTCAATAAAAATAAGAAAAATAATAAGAGTTACTTAATAATTATACTAGTAAAATGGAGAAGAGAAATGAAACCATTATTGAAAAGCATCTCAAATTAAGGCAGAAACTAAAAAAGAACCAAAAAAGTAATACTGATATGGTTTAATAAATGCATTAATTAATTATTGAAAAGGACGAGCTTAATCAAAATATCACCAAGGCTTAAAGACTAATAGTTACGAAGCCAACAAAAAATATTGAAGAATTACTCAACCATGTTCTTTTTAATTGAATTTTAATTATATTTTATGTTTGTATCTCATAACAAAATCACTGAGCAACTTATTAAAAGTTAAGGGGAAGAACCTTCTAAAACAACAAAATTATCTTTGCGTTCTATGAAACTGAGTGTAATCATGATATTTTATATAGAAAATAGAAAATTTAGATTAATTATTGCTCTTATAGGAATTGAACCTTAGTCATAATAGTATAACAAAAATAGAGAATTTGAGATTGCCAGCACTTAAAGAACTCAATCTCTCTGATAATTTTATCAAATCCATGCAAGGATTAGAATTTTTGCCATCTTTAATTAATTTGAATTTAAATGGCAATCAAATAAGTGAGATTAGCTTAACAAATCATACTTTAGAGACTGTAAAGTTATCGAGAAACTAAATCAAGGACCCTCTATAGTTATTAAACCTAAAACCCCTTTTAAATTTGAAAATACTTTCTATCAGTGATAATCCTTTTTGTAGAACATTTAGTTACATAGAATATCTCTGTTTTTTAACTCCTACCCTTTAAGTTTTAGACAATAAAGTTATTTCCAATTAACATGAAATTGCTAGGTAATTGTATGGAGAACCAATTCCAAGCGATCATTAACAAATACTTCAAAATATTAGACTGGTTTAATTGAAAAAACAAGAAATAGATGCTGAAATAGCCTAAATAGAGAATAAAATGTAAAGAGCTTCTAGTCTACTTCAAACCTATTAAAATGATTCTGATAGCGAGGATGAATCAGACAGATAGGTTACTAACAAAGCATTTCTTTCTCTAAAATCCTAGTTAGAAGAGCATTACCATGTTCGTTAAGATGCAGATGAGGCTTTGAAGGAATTAAAACAATAGCTTGAATCATTTAAGTAACAACCAAAGGAAAAATTGCCAACTGAATAATTGAATAAAATTAACTCTCTATTTGTTAGACTACAAGCAGTACTTCAAACAGATTTAACTTAATGTTAAAGATCTCTATTTGAAATGGCTTTGTAGGGAAGTATCGAGTAAGTTTTGCAAAGCATTGTGGATCTACTAGAAACAGTTTTAGACAGAATACCGTTGTTACCCTAAGAAAGTGTACTATAAGAAGTGGCTGCTTAGATTCATGATCAAATTTAAGAGTTATATTCTAAAGTTTCTACGAATTCCCTAAATTCGATTGGAATTTAAGATAAACCTATAGAATCATCGATTGTTCTTTTAAAGAAATTATTTAAGAGAGCAGAGAAGAAATATAAGAAGATTGAAGAATTCAATGTAATCAAGGCTTAATTTATCAAAGATTTTGAATTAGAAACGCAATAATTAACTGATAAGTGGAAAGATTATGAAAATAAAAAAGCATAGTTGCTTCAAGAGAAAGAAACAATAAGTAAAGAATTGGAGGAGTAATTTGAATAGATTATGCAATAGAAAGAAGAACTTAAAATGTAACATTAATAAGTTGAAGTTTAATTCACTAAATCCAATGAGGATTTTAAAATATTTAGAGCAAAATAAAATGAAGCTAGAAAGTGTTTAACTGATGAGATCACGAAACTTGGGAGACAATAGGAGTAATTGGTAATAATTTTAATTAACCTTCTAGTGTGAAGAAGTCTAAGAGCTTTAGGGTGAAATGGAAAGACTCAAAGATACAAATGCAGAGAAAGAAGAATCCATAAGGTTATTAAATGAAGAGATTGAAATGCTGTAATAGAGAATATAGGATCAATATTAAGTTAGTTTTTAGATTAGAGAAGATCAGCAAAGAGCTCTGAATAATATAGAATATCTGAATACATAAAAAGGATTATTAAGCAAGGATATAGAGGATTTGCAATTTGAGCATTCTAAAAAAGAATAAGACACAATGGATCTATAAATCAAATATCAAAATGAGCATAAAAAAATGAAACAATTACTTGAAGAATTAGATACTTGCCATTCAAAACTAAAAAATACAGAGCAGTTATGCAGAGAGGCTGATAAAGTATTAAAATAATTAAATGGTGCCATCAGTGATAAAGAGTAAGAAATGTAAAAATATGATAAAATCATGTAGGAATCAAATATTGAAAAGGAGAAAATAAAATAAACTAAGAATGAGAATTTGTAGATCAAAAAAGAATCATAGAAACTCAGGACAGATTTAGATAACTTAGAATATTAGATCTAAGTCAATCAAGATAATTTATTGAAGAGCAAAAAGAATTTACAATAGGTTACACAATTAACTATAGAAAAAGAGTAGGAATTGCTATAAATAGAAAAACAGTTAATCAACACAGAAAAATAGATATAGGATTAATTAAAATAAAAGGACTTTTTGGGTAATGATTACGATATATTGCAGAAAGAATTGAAAAAATTAAATATTGATAAAGCTAAATTACAACAATATATTGATGATGCCACTATCGAATTACAAAGCATTAAATAAGAATATACAATATAATAATCTAATTTGCAATCCTTAAACAAATAAATTGAATAGAAGGTTACGGAATTATCAACTTAAACTCATTACCAGATGCATTAGGGTCATGATTAAATCATTAATTTTCAGATTTAATTGTAGAAATTATAAGAGGGAATAGAAGTTAAAGGATAAGAATTTAAATTATTAGTTGATCAAATAGATTAATTGTAGTAAAAGAGGGATTATTTAATATAGAGTGTTTAACATTTATAATCATCAGTTTTACAAGAAGATCAAAACACAAACTAAAAGCCATATGTAAATGTTATATTAAATTAAATTAGATTGTACATGATGAAGAATCCTTGCAATCACAAAGTTATGATAAATAAAGATCAGATTGGTTAAAACCATCAAAAAACTCAGCAATTAAAAGTTAAACTAATTTTGCATTGTTAAGTGATTTAAGTAAGAAATATTAGCCAAAATCTGCGAATTAATCCATGCTAAGGAAATCTCCTTAAGGCAAAGATCAATCGGTCTAATCTGTTATATAAAATTTAGAGGAACTAAACTAAAATTTAGATAGAATGTATATGGAAAGTCTTGAAAGATTTGAATAATGAATGTTTATTATTAATAACACTTATTATTAATTATCTGAAATTAAAGTTTAAATTACTATAATAAAACACACCTATTTTGAAATCTTAAATTAAATCAGCATTTTAAATTAAAATTGTAACTTATAATTAAAAACATAAAAAATTTTATGTTCAAACTGTGATGATAATATATTTCCAAAGCTTTATTGCATCGATCATCCACATTAATGAAGTATCATATTGCCTTATGGCTTTTTCGATAAGATGGACAAACCTTTCAAATATATGTTCACTTATCTTGAGTCTTGAGTGAATTGCTTGGATATCAGATCTCTTAAAATATTTTCTACCTGATAATAAATATTCAAATTTCTTTAAAACAACTTTATTCACATTTACATCATTGCTATCAAAGATGTTCTTAATTTCTACATTTGATTTCAACTCATCCGAAACGATAGGGATAAATTCACACAATCTCTCACCTACAATATCGCAAGGTAATTTTTAATTTGTTATGTATGGCAGTATCAAATCGAATTCTTCTTCAAAGTCTTAAAATATAACTCTCTGTGGATTCAATTTGGATAGTAAGAGCATCATTTTATCTTTGATACTTTAGTATAAATTAATATTGATTGAATGTTAACAATGAAATGATTGCAGATCATCTAATGTAAAACAGTTATTTTATTTATTAAAAGCATAATGTAAAAAGTACTTAGTGTGTTCTACAAACTAATCAAATCCAACTTTATGAATAAAGTTCTTAAAGATAAATTAATCTTGTTAACATAATTTTAGAAATTCATTAGTAAAATTATCAAATCCTTATTGCTTGTAGACTAAATCTTTAATACTATCTTAATTAATGACAGCTGCTTTATAAGCATCAGTCTACTCTAAAACATACCAAATAACTTCCTTTTGAGTGTGTTTTGATAATGAACCTGATAAATAGTATTTAAAGATCGAATATTATACTGATGTAATTTCAAAACTCTTATGAAAATCTCTCATGGAGTCCATAACATAATTTGTAGATTCAGCTGATCCCAAAATAAACCCAAAGATCCTACTGAATTTCAATGCTTATTCTTCTTATTTTGTTCCTTTGAATAATGGACTCAGAGAAAAGTCTTCAAATATCTGACTATACATATTTTTGGCAATAGACCTGACGTTATCTTTCACATGTTATACAGAACGAGACTAATGGATAATACAATGAAATTACCTCAGAGACGATAGCTCCTCTGTAGAACTCAACTGCTTAAGCACACTTAAAGACCGTATCGATTTTAACTTTCAATTAAATTAAGTATTTAAGATAGAGATATTTGAATCGATTGAACATTTGATCGGTGATCTTTAGAGTTGAGTGCAATTGTTTTAAGGTTTCAAAATTATAAGACAGTTTATTACCATTGCTTAAATCTATTAGTGATTTAACAACTCCTTTCATTTCACTAACATCTCTTAGAATTGGTCCAATTAGATTATCGTCATTTAGAATGGAGCCTAATTCTTTGGTGTAGTCGTCCAATCCTTCCATTTTTTCAAATTCACTATGACGTGTTATTCCATTTTTTGTCCTATATAAAATTAAATTAATACTTTTTATCTGTGAATTATGATATGATGTCTTTGAGGGATTTGCCAGATTAAAATGGACATTATTATTACTGTGCCTATTATTATGATTATTAAATTTATTAGGTCTAATGATAATGTGATTTCCTCAACACAACATGATTTGTAATAGTATTTGTATTATCATCTCTCTGAATTTTTACACTGCCAGTAGTTGATTTGTTATGATTCTTAACAGTAAATAATCTTTGAAAATTTCTACTCGAACCAAGATCAAATTAAGTGGACTCTTCAATTTATATTGTTGAATTTTTTTTCTACTTTTACTGCTAAGGTGTAAGTGATTTCAGTGCTGAATTTACTCTATCTGTGTCTATGCATTTAGCAGATCCTCCTTTCCTGACTTACCAAGAATTATTCGACTAAGGAGAATCTAAAGAAGGCAATTTTTAGAAATAATATTCTTTTCTGAATGTTTGAATTTCTTTGGTCGACTTGCATAAATAGGGTTGGCTAAAAGCATGTTATTACATTTCACCAGAATCTCTACGAATCATAAGAATTGATAATTAATATTTATTATATAATTTGTTATGTGATGGTAATAACACCTGATCAATAATTTTTCCCTGAACATATCGATCTTTAATTATTTTGTTCTACACCAAACCTCAAAAATATTAAGATTTCATCATATCAAACTTAACAGGGCAGATATTTAATGCTCTCTATTTATGTGTTTATAATTCTTTTATTAATTTGGCTTACTAAATTTAATTTGTGTTCAGGAACCAATTTAAAATTTTGAAAATTTATGATTTAATAATAATTCTCTAGCTATTGCCAAATTCATAGAACCCATCGATGTGATTCTCACTATATGCTTTTTGAATACATGTGGCTTATCTGCACTCCAAAATTTGATAATATTTATTATTTGAATTACTTATATTCACAATAGGATTAGTTTTGTTACAAAAGACACCATATCATCTTTTTTGACAGCAAAAGAATGTCCTAGGCAAGATTAACATTGAAAATCTTTCATCCTTCCAAAAATAATTATGAATCATTTTTTCTATTATTCAAATCAATAACCGATTAATTCCATTTGAATCCAATTTATTTCTTCTAAAAACCCTAATTACAATACTATTTTTCTTTTAAGTAAAGATGACACATTATCTACCACCACAACTTGACAATAGTTTATTTCCACTGCTAATTTTTGATCCTCTTGCAAAATGATAATATTACTATGGCATTATTTAGTAATGATGAAGCTTCAAGAATTTATTGAAAAATATTATCAAATCCAAGTTAATCAATGATCCATATACACTTAATTCACATTTGAGGTTACTTATAATACATTTCAAATATCTGACATCCTTATTTTTGGTAAAAATTAAAAGGAATATTATGAAATATTCTATAGAGATTACATAATTTTAGAACAAATTCTAATAGTATATTAAATTTTTCATTAGAATAATATTGAATTCGAGAAACGTCGCGATATTATCAGAATATTATATTATTCTACTCTCTACTAGCAATCTGTATTAATTAAGCAATCCAAAGATGATATTAAAAATTCTGTTCTATTAGGCTTTTTCAAAATATTTCACATTTTCTTTCTCATTTATTACACATTAATTAAGTTCTACATACATTATACTAGGTCATGCTTTAGTGATATGTGTGATTGAGGTGGTATTTCCAATTTATTTCTTGGTTTAAATAGATCCATATATCCGTTAATTTAATTCTTAATCATCATTCAATTATTTCTTTTATAAATTAAGTGATTTTTTTATAGGGAGACACATTTAGTCCTAAATTAAATTTGCATTTCAATCTTTATGTGCGAGACATGATTTTATTTGACTCTTAAATATTTATTTTATTTATGTTATATAAATTATTAATAAAAATATTTAATAAATTATTAATATGAGTAATGCTAAGTAATATTATTTTTCAATTCGATTAGATCTGATGGGGAGAATCCAAAATTTATGATGGGTGATGAACCTGTGAGATTTTAAAATTATGTTGGAGGATAGGATGAACAATAAGGTATTTTCATATTCAAATCTTAGTCCCATAATAGGATCAAAATTTAGAATACTACAATGAGTACCTGAGATTATACATTGCAAATGTAGTCTTAACAAATCAAGTAAAATTTGAACTTATTTTTAGTTAAAAGAACTTTTGAATGAGAAGAATGAACTAGTCAATAAATTGAACAAATTAGAAGTAATTTTTAATACTACCTTAATTCTAGCGTCGCAATCAGGAGTTAAATTCAAATGTGGAAGAAACAGGAGAGGAGAGAAAGAAAAGATTGAGGAGACCAGCCCAAGAAATAGAAAGACACTTTACTTGTCCAGTTGAAAATTGCCAAAAAAAATACGGGTATTTTAGATAAAATTTATCAATTACATAGAGCTGAAGGTTCTCTTAATTAACACATCAAACTCAAACATCCAGAATTAGTAAAAGATAGAGCATTTTATAAATCAAATGAATAATCATAGTAATAAGGAGAACCAGAATCGTTATCAGACCCAAAACAGGAGTAAATTTAATGACAAATAATTTAATAATTATTAGTTATTTATCTTTTCATTTAGAAATCTTTTTCTCATCCTTTCTGAAATTCTCAATTTTCAACATCCAATCATATACCTAAAATTATGTAATTTGGGTTAATCAATAATGACACAGATTTATGTTGTGAACCAATAATCCATATAAATTAAATTGAAATTTAATTACGATAATAAATGAATATTGTACAAAGTTCCTTCATTCATCTATTAAAACTAGGTAATATCCCAAACCACGTAGGTGTGATTATGGATGGTAATCGGTATTTTATAGGTTAGATGTAGACGATATGCTAAACAAAGGAGAATTGAGCCAACTGAAGGTCATATCTAAGGATATCAATCTTTCTTGAATTTACTAGAATGGAGTTAAAAATTGGGAATTAAAGAAATAAGCGTATTTGCTTTCAGCATTGAGAATTATAATAGATAAAGGGATGAAGTGCAATTTCTCATGGAATTAATGAAATAAAAAATGCACCATCTGCAACATGATCTTAATTTTATAGACTAAAACCAAGTTCGAGTCAAATGTTGTGGAGATCTTGATATCTTATAAGATCAAGAACTAAAATCCAAATTATTGGAGCTTGAAACCTATAGTTCTAAATATTCTTAATACAAGTAAGAGTGAATTAAATTTTTCTTAGACTCAACATTTGTTTCTCTTATAATTTCACGAATGAATTAGAAAAAGCTATTTAATCAATGCCAAAAGGATTAACCAAATAAGAGTTCTTTTAGTAATTAAGCTCACATTTAATGGTAACTAACTCCCCTGACATTCTATTGAGAACCTCTGGTGAAACTAGATTAAGCAATTTCTTACTATATTAAATACGAGAGAATACAGTAATTCATTTTATTGATAAAAAATGGCCAGAGTTATCATTTCTAGATTTTTGTAATATGATTTTATTCTATAGAAAAAATAAAATTTGATATATTTTAAGTTTTAATCATTTTTGTAGCAATATTGATCAATTTCTATATTAATTGTATTTGAAAATAATTATGAATTTTAAGTTAGATATAAGTTATTGTAGATTAGGATTTATGTTTATAATTTATGATTTTAGAAATATCCATTTTTAGATTTCAAATCACCCATTTTCTTTTTAAGAATTATTATAAAATTGTGAAATATACATTATTTTATGTTTTACTACATCAGTTATACTAAGGATAGTTTAATAAAAGTAAAGAAGCCTTTCAACAATTGAATTTAAAGGATAAAAATAAATTTAAGAGGTATTCTGATATTTTTCAAGATAAAAGAATTTGATTCTATTAAATAATTCTATTAAATTCCAATTTTTTGTGAAATTCATCATCTTTTTTCATTTTAATTAAAAATAATTTAGAATATATGATAAAAAAATCTTCTATGATATCATCACAAATGTTTTGCTAGAATCTGAAATTTAATGAGCTGTTATAATAAATAAAATAATTGTCTTTGATTTGAAAAAAACAAATGAGTTCAATAATTCAAGATTATTGCTAATTTATTTTGAATTTTTTAAAGACAATAAATTCTCTCAACATTTGATCCTATCTATCTCTTGTTAAACTGTCATAACCACAAAAACGGAGAAGGGGAGTCTAAATAATGATCATTTTGATTGTGATTATAAATAAATATTATTATTATTTTGAACATGACAATTCAAATATTCCTTGTATTAATAAAACTTGTTTCAGGAGTTGATAACTTTTACTCATGCGAAGTGAAGACAACTGGACAAATAAATTAGAAAGGAGATTACTCATTTAAAATAAATAGGCCAGGGGATTCATTAACACATCCCATTGATTTATACCAAACATATTACATTCAAATTGATTTTCCTTGGAACATCAATAGCGATTATACGTGTTATAATGAATAAGCAGTGTTAATAAGTTGTAACTATGCTTCAAGCACCAGAGTTATTTTGAACAGCTACTTTGTCAAAGATTACAAATCTTTAGATTACGATAATACAGATGGATTTACATTTTCAATTGAATTAAAATCTGTTTTGAATCCAGCTTACAGTGGGAAATACGACAATCCCATTTAGATATCGATTATGAGTTCTACAAGTACTTTATTAGAATAGTGTCCTAATGGAGGAATTCAACCAACTGTAAGTCCAGGAGTTGGGACCTGTTCAGGTGATGGATAATAATTTAAAGTAAATAGTTCAAACACAGACATTTCATTATAAATGTTTGTAAAGAACGCTCTTGCTGTAGAAGTAAAATATTAAAGTAAAATAGAGTTACCTGATGGTCAAATATACTCGTTATTGGTAAATTGATAAGATTACTAAAGAAATGATTCCAGGATCAATTACCTGTTCAGTCTATGCAAATAATATCTTAATTGCAGGTACTACATGTACAAAGGATTCAACTAATTTTTAAATCAAGTCAACTTTAGGGACTGGACACACCGGATCAAATGTATGATTTGTATTATATTAGATTACCCTAGTGATTAATGGAGTCAATTCGCCATCATCAACAACGCCTGATGGAAGTTTCATTTTATAAACATACAATTCAAATAATAAATTGATTGATGAATGTTCATTATCAACCATAAGTGGATGGGTTCCTAATGTTGTTGTACTCAGTAGTATGACATGGACTAATATAGTTAATTAAGTAGAGAAGTTAAATGTGTAATTTCAACTAAATAGTTAAATACTAACTGGGGATACTATTTAAATTACCATTCCTAAAGAAATAAAAATTAGTTCTGCTACTCTAATTTAAATAAGAGATTCAAGAAGCTATTTCTTTACTTCCCCAATCAATCAATTAGGATTTACAATTACTGATTAATTAGTCACAATAACATCAACCAAGGATTTTTCTACAACTCTTTCTAATATTTTATTAACATTTGTAAATGTAGCTGCTCCTCCATCAATCAAGCCATCATCAACAGTTGCTATTAGTACTTATAGAGGATCGTATATCATCGATAGAAGCACAGCAAGCTTAACTATAGCTGCATCAAATGGTGCAATAAGTTCAGTCTCAATAGTTGCTTTGAATAAAGTAATCAATTAATTATCTGCCTATGATTTTGTTATAACGTTAGCAAATCCTCTCTTTTCAGATGGATATTTAACTATTTTGTTTCCGAATTAATTTGATTTAACCTAAATAACCAAGATACAAAACTATTAAATAAACTCATAAGCTTATGATGCTTAATATAGTGTCTCTAGTTAGAAACTAATAATTACATCATTATATTCAACTAATATTGCAGCATCTGCATAAATCAAATTTTAAATAACTTAAATTAAAAATTAATTTAGTGCTAACATAAGTAATACCTTTACAGTGCAATCTTACTATTCAAAGAGTACTGAAGACTTTTTAGTGGATTAGCATACAACATTTTAAATGAGTTCGTTTACATCAGGGTCTTTGGATACAAATTCGATATCGATAAAAGTAGATAATTACATTACTGGAATAGTAGATAACTATGAAATAGATTTAATAAATACTAATGTAATTTCTGCTCTTGGATATATAGTTGTAACGTTTACATCTGATTTTATAATGAGTGGTAATCCTACTAGTTGTACAATAAATGGAGTCAGTAGTACATGTACTTCAACAGCCACCAATACTATTAAAATCATTACATCTACAAGCATTGCCAGCAACAATAATATCAAATTAAAAATTACTTCATACATCTCTAATCCAACCACTCTATAACTCTTTAGTAATGTAGTTACAATTAAAACATATGATGATTAGAATTTATTAATAGATAGTGGATAAGGTGGCAGCATTTAAATGTTATATTTGTCCACTTTTTCATTGACTCTCTCTTCAAGGGTTTCTTAGACCAACGGAGTAAAAAATGCTTATACTTTTAATATCAACTTTTAAGTCACCCAGATAAATGGAATATATCTCATAATTGAGATTCCAAGTGATTTATCCATTGATCTATAATCTTGTCAATCAATTGCTCCTTTGTAGACAACTCTACCTTGCTCTTTTACAAATTCAAAATTGTAGATTCAATTGCTTTGCAACTCCTGTTCATCTATTCTCAAGACTACAGATTATAAGATTGCTGTCAATCAAATAATTAATCCTTCATCTTTCAAACCAGTTACAATATCTGCTGCTTCTACGATTTAGAATTTATTAAATGATTTAACAAAACAGAGTCAGTTAAAAGATTCATTGACTATAACCAATACTTAAACAAACACTATCAGAACATTTACATAGGCATATGAGAATGGTTACTTAAACCAATTGGATAATTACTTATTTACATTTGAGGTCAATAATTAACTAAGTGAAAATTTTAAGATAACTATAAATGTCCCTACAGATATAAAAGTATTTCAATCAACTGATACAACTCCCACAAGTTTATCAAATATTGTAAATTTACCGAGTGATGTCTCAATTAATATAAATTCTCAAAGCATTGTTATATCTGGTTATTCTGGAGCAAAAATATTAACTTTTTCATTTAAAATAAATAATTTACTAAACCCCAATACACCTACTATTAGTACTTATTTTTCAATTAATACATACAATGTACAAATTAATTAGGATTATTAAATGGATTCTGGTTAACTTGGAACTTATACTCATAAGTGTAATTTACCCTGTAAGGATTGCGATACATCTATACTAACTAAATGTAGTAGTTGTTACGATAGCACTAGAAGCAGTTTGGTTTCATCTAAGATTTATTTCATGAGTGATTCGAATAGCTGTGTAACTGATTGTTATAGTGTGGATGGTTACTATGTTACAAGTGGGGAGTACAACTGTAAAAAATGCAACACAGAGTGTAAGAAATGCAAGGATGTAAATTCTTTTTGTTTGGAATGCAGTGGAACATATAAATTCTTAAACAATAAATGTTTAGATTCATGTCCAAAGACTTACTACAATAACTAATAAGTATGTTAAAATTGCATAAATAATTGTGACACTTGCTCTAATAGTACCACTTGTACAGTATGCAGTACTAATTTCTACTTGTATTAATAATCATGCATCGATACTTGTCCTGCAAACATTACTATCACCAACACCTAATAATAAACATGTGATACATGCACCAATAATTGTTAAACTTGCCAAAACCAAACATCATTTTGTATCACATGTAAAACCAATTATTATTTGTACAATAATACTTGTATATCTATATGCAAGGATGGTACCTATCTTAATGGATCATAATGCACAGATTGTCTAACTAAATGTAAAACTTGTAGTAATGGAACTGCTTGTGATACATGTGCTGACGGTTTGCTGTTTTATTAAAATGATTGTTTGAATAAATGTCCAGATTAATACTTTGCTTAAAGTGGTAAGTGTCAATAATGCAATTTCTCATGTAATACTTGCGAGTCCAATTAATATCGATGCACCAGCTGTGTAAATAATACATTCCTATACAATTATCAATGTTTGGGATAGTGTCCAGATGAATTTTATGGTGACATCGATACAAACAAATGTGTGTAATGCAAGGCTCCTTGTAAAACTTGTAAGTCAGACTAAATATGTTTAAGTTGTGTAACATAAATACCTGTTTTATACTACTACAATAATTCCTGTAACACATCCTGTCTTTAATATTACGCTCCTGAAAAAGGTCAATGCGTACAATGTAGGAATCCTTGTAAGCAATGTACAACTACACCTGATACATGCAGTGAATGCTATCCTAACACCTATTTATTGAGAGATATGTGTGTCACTGATTGTGGAGATGGCTATTACAAAGATAGTCAATAATACCAATGCTAACTTTGTTAAGATCCATGTGTTAATTGTTCGAATAAAACGAGTTGTCTTACTTGCAAGGATGATTTATACTTATTCAAATCTACTTGTGTTTCAAAATGCGAAGATGGGTATTATCAATAGGATAAATAATG